ATAGACACGCATAGACTCACAGATACATTGACTAACAGTAGGACCCAGAGACTCACGTAGAAACGCATAGTCTCACATAGATACATTGACTAACATTAGGACCCAGAGACTCACATAGATACATTGACTAACAGTAGGACCCAGAGACTCACATAGACACGCATAGACTCACAGATACATTGACTAACAGTAGGACCCAGAGACTCACGTAGAAACGCATAGTCTCACATAGATACATTGACTAACATTAGGACCCAGAGACTCACATAGACACGCATAGACTCACAGATAAATTGACTAACAGTAGGACCCAGAGACTCACGTAGACACGCATAGACTCACACAGATACATTGACTAACAGTAGGACCCACAGACTCACATAGACACGCATAGACTCACATATACATTGACTAACAGTAGGACTCAGAGACTCACATAGACACGCATAGACTCACATAGAGACCCACTGACTCACACAGACACACACAAGACCCGCATAGAAATGCATAAACTCACATTTAGACCTATGACAATTTTTATATATATTTATTAATAGATCTCTCTCTCTCTACCGCTTCTGTACAACGTTGCATTCAGATGCAATATGGATCCAAACTGTGTTGTAAATGCACACCGCATATACTCACATACGATATCTGCTCTTATATATACACAACAACAGAGTGATGCAGGGGGGGCGAGGCGTGCGTGTGTGTGATGGGTGGAAATTTGTGGGGAGCGGTGGTGCAGCGGTTAGCACGCTGCACTCACGGCCAACACCCAGTGACGATTATCTGAACCGGTCCTGGGCCTCCCCTAGGTCGCCTCAGCCTCAAATGAGTACCTGGCGCGGTGTGTAAACATCGCCACTGGGGAGACAAAGGCGGCCGGGCGTGGTGTTGGCCACCCACCCCCTCGTGTGCCGTGCCGGTCGGCCTTCATAGGTGCTACTCGCTTACAGCACTTGCCCCTTGCAGTCTGTTAAGGCTACGCGGGGGATCTTTGTCTTTGGACGCCTGTGCGAGGAGCCTACCCCATCCACGTGCGTGCTTTGGGGTCCATTGTGATCCCACGTGGGCAACGAGTGGATGTCACGCAATTCCTAACGCCACCTCGACTTGCCGCCCCTAAGTGAGCTCTCATCGCGTGCAAGTTTATTGCAGCCAAAAATCTAAACGCATTGTTGATTCTGAACTAAGCTGAATTGAAAAGTGTTTTTGCACGCTTTTATTTAAGTCACTCTGTTGTTGTTGTTGTCGTATCTTCAAATATCGTAACTCAATTTTAACCCACTTCCCAATGTCGTATCGACTGCAAACTTGGTATACTTATGTCTTACTGATGACAATACTATATTCTATCACAATATATATATATATTTTTTAAACCATCTTTTTTATATGTTTTGTTTCGGCTTGGGTCGAATTGTCCACACTCAACTCACGTTGGCTGTGGCAAGCTTCGGGGCCACTTCCTGGAGTCGTGGAGTTCTGCCATTACTAGTACGGTACATTTCATTAAAGCGTCTTTTAAAAAAGTATTTTTAAATATTTGTTTTATTTTTCATTTGACCAGGTAAGGTGCCAATGAGCTATCTAGCTTATTGTTTTCTGAAGTGACCTGGCCATGACAAATTATAGGTCAGCGAAGTGGCTTATCATAATCATCATCACCGTCATCACATGGAGATTTAAGGCAGCAGCCAAATACTCTAAATGTGTGATGTTTAGTCTAAACGTGGAGGGGGTAAAAAACCGGAGGACCACGTGACCACGAGGAGAGACGCAAACTTCAAATATACAACAGGCGTCAGGGTCGGGATCGACCCCACGACCTCCTGTGTATACCAGGCGAGGTTCCTACATACAGGATATCATCAGTATCGGTTAAGTGTCTCTGACATGGCCATTGTGACTCTACCAGAGACACACAGACCCAGGGCTTGAACCCAGGATATCATCGGTATCGGTTAAGTGCCTCTGACATGGCCATTGTGACTCTACCAGAGACGCACAGACTCAGGGCTTGAACCCAGGATATCATCGGTATCGGTTAAGTGCCTCGGCCATGGCCATTGTGACTCTACCAGAGACGCACAGACCCAGGGCTTGAACCTAGGATATCATCGGTACAGGCTCAGTGTCTCTGACATGGCCATTGCTACTCTACCAGAGACGCACAGACTCAGGGCTTGAACCCAGAATATCATCGGTATCGGTTAAGTGCCTCTGACATGGCCATTGTAACTCTACCAGAGACGCACAGACCCAGGGCTTGAACCTAGGATATCATCGGTATCGGTTAAGTGCCTCTGACATGCCCATGATGATGATGATTATATATTTGGAGAGATACAAACAGTGGCCAGGAATAGGCTGTTGTTATTCTAAACAACACGACACACAGGGTGGCGTGAAGTTTCGATACCCGTGGGGATAGAGGTGATACCTTGAATAATCTTCCGCTTGCTATTTATACATTTGTATCCACAAACAGTTGCCGCTTAGCGACACGAATCACGGGGATTATTTTTTAACGGAGACTGGGATTACGGAAAATCACAAAGCAAACCAGAAGTAGCAACATAATTTGTTCATATTTATAAGAAGCTAGGAGGTTACATATTTCACGGAGAGACAGTTTTAAACTGTTTTTATTTTATTTAATTTGACCAGGTAAATCCACACTGAGCTGCAATGTAGTAGCTCTTTTTCAGAAGCGACCAGGCTTTCACAAATGATAGCTTAACCAAGTGGGCTTATCAATGCCGTAATTATAATAAATATTGGGTCGAACAGATCCCTGCCAATATTCAAATATGCTCAAGATGTCACCCCCAATATATTGCTATTAACAAAAAACAATTTGCTAAACCTTAGCCACAATATCTGGACTTCATATAAATCAATGCATAGATTTATGTTTATATGATTGTGGTTATGGTTGTACTTTATGAATCCCTTTACATACAATGAAACAAGAAATGGTAAAAAAAAATACAGAGCAATGTAATACAATACACTCTTAGACATTATTGTAAAAAAAAATCCATCCCATGCGTTAGGGATTTTTAAAAATATTTTAGGCAGGAAATGAGTTTTCTAATTTAGATATTGTTTCTGGGTTGGGACCCCCAGACACCCTGGAAGATTTGGTCCCCTCAATGTTCACTCCATGGCTATGGCCTTGGGGCTTATTATCATCATCATCACGTGGAAATTACAGCAGCAGTCAAACACTCTAAACGCATTGATGTTGATTCTAAATGTGAAGGGGGCCAATCTGGAGGAGGACCCAGAGAAAAATCCACTCGACCACCGGCACAGAGACACCCAAACTCCAATTGTACAGCAGGCGTCAGGGTCGGATTCGAACCCACGACCTCCTGCATACCAGGCGAGGTAGTTAACATGCAACCTCCAAATCTACAGCAGCAGGCATCGTCTGGAGGGCGGTTGGGGTGGAAGGGGAGGGCGGTTGGGGTGGGAAGGAGGGGGTTGGGGTGGGAGGGAGGGCGGTTGGGGTGGGAGGGAGGGCGGTTGGGGTGGGAGGGGAGGGCGGTTGGGGTGGGAGGGAGGGGGGTTGGGGTGGGAGGGAGGGCGGTTGGGGTGGGAGGGAGGGGAGTTGGGGTGGGAGGGGAGGGCGGTTGGGGTGGGAGGGAGGGGGGTTGGGGTGGGAGGGAGGGGGGTTGGGGTGGGAGGGAGGGGGGTTGGGGTGGGAGGGAGGGCGGTTGGGGTGGGAGGGAGGGGAGTTGGGGTGGGAGGGGAGGGCGGTTGGGGTGGGAGGGAGGGGGTTGGGGTGGGAGGGAGGGGGTTGGGGTGGAGGGGAAACGGTTGGGTTGGGAGGGAGGGGTTGGGTGGGAGGGAGGGGGGTTGGGGTGGGAGGGAGGCGGTTGGGTGGGAGGGAGGGGGGTTGGGGGGGAGGGAGGGCGGTTGGGGTGGGAGGGAGGGGGGTTGGGTGGGAGGGAGGGAGGTTGGGGTGGGAGGGAGGGGGTTGGGGTCGGAGGGAGGGAGGTGGGGTGGGAGGGGAGGGGGGGGTTGGGGTGGGAGGGGAGGGGGTTGGGGTCGGAGGGAGGGAGGTTGGGGTGGGAGGGAGGGGGGCGGTGGGGTGGGAGGGGAGGGGGGTTGGGGTCGGAGGGAGGGGGGTTGGGGTGGGAGGGAGGGAGGTTGGGGTGGGAGGGGAGGGCGGTTGGGGTGGGAGGGGAGGGGGGTTGGGGTGGGAGGGAGAGGGGTTGGGGTGGGAGGGAGGGCGGTTGGGGTGGGAGGGAGAGGGGTTGGGGTGGGAGGGAGGGGGGTTGGGGTGGGAGGGAGGGGGGTTGGGGTGGGGTGGGAGGGAGGGCGGTTGGGGTGGGAGGGGAGGGGGGTTGGGGTGGGAGGGGAGGGCGGTTGGGGTGGGAGGGGAGGGCAGTTGGGGTGGGAGGGAGGGGGGTTGGGGTGGGAGGGAGGGAGGGCAGTTGGGGTGGGAGGGGAGGGCGGTTGGGGTGGGAGGGAGGGGGGTTGGGGTGGGAGGGGAGGGAGGGCAGTTGGGGTGGGAGGGAGGGGGGTTGGGTGGGAGGGAGGGAGGGCAGTTGGGGTGGGAGGGAGGGGGGTTGGGGTGGGAGGGAGGGCGGTTGGGGTGGGATGGAGGGGGGTTGGGGTGGGAGGGAGGGGGGTTGGGGTGGGAGGGGGATTGGGGTGGGAGGGAGGGGGGTTGGGGAGGGAGGGAGGGGGGGTTGGGGTGGGAGGGAGGGGGGTTGGGGAGGGAGGGAGGGGGGTTGGGGTGGGAGGTAGGGCGGTTGGGGTGGGAGGGGAGGGGAGGGGAGGGGCGGTGGGGGGTGGAGGGAGGGGCGGTCGGGGGTGGGAGGGGAGGGGAGGGGCGGTGGGGGGAGGGGAGGGGAGGGGCGGTGGGGGGAGGGGAGGGGAGGGGCGGTGGGGGGAGGGGAGGGGAGGGGCGGTGGGGGGTGGGAGGGGAGGGGAGGGGCGGTGGGGGGTGTCCCATCCTCGGGACGCGTCGTTTTTATTTTGCGTCTGTGCCGACATCGAGTCGCCGTCCATTCGCGGCGTCTCTGCCTCTGTCACCACCACCGCCACCTCCGCTGCTGCTGCCGCTGCCACTTGCCGAGAGGTCAATTCGCTATTCGCCATCAATGCCAATCTCTCTCTCTCTGGGCCCTCGTTGGCCTCAACATCATTCGTCTTGTTGTTGTTGTTGGTGGTGTTCGCCTGCGTGTAGTGGTGGTGGCACTGCGTGCGGTGTGTAAAAATAATCGCCACTGGGGAGACAAAGACGGCCGGGCGTGGTGGTGCTGGTGGCCACCCCCCCATCACACACATCATCTCGTGTTGCCACAGCTGCCGGCCTTAATAGCCACTTGCCCCTGCAGTCTTGTTCAAGGCTACACGGGGGTGGCTTCCTTTCGAAATGCTTCATTGGCTTCACGCAAAGCCACCCAACTTGCATGCAATGCATCCAAATCGATGAATTCTGCCGTCGAAATCATGGCTTTTCTACCTTTTTTGCGTGCAATTAAAAGTGTGCCCATTGAAACAAACTTGCTTGAGATGTGTGCTCATCTATTTTGGTGTCTTAAATTATATTTTTTCCTCCCCCCTCCCCTCCTCTTCTCCACTTCCTCCAGAATGGCTTCACAGATTGACTTGACGAACATCAAACAGGAATACGAAGAAGATGCGAGCCTTGGGATTTGGCCGGATTTGATGGTGAAGGATGAAGACACTGAGGCTGCTGCTGGTAAGGCTGCCCTACCTTGCCCCAAATGTCTGCCCGCCTTCTTGTGATTGACATGGGACCGTCCCCATGTCTTGATTTTCACGAAAAAATGGGGAGAACCCACCGAGAGGAGGGTTTTTGACATCTAAGTTAATTTCCTCTTAACATCTTCTTGGTTCTTTCGGTAAAGTCACGTAGAAGGGAAATAATAAAATAATAAAAATAAAACATAAAATTTCGATTTAAAGCTTTCGTGACTGCAGGGATTCATCTTCTTGGTTCTTTCGATAAAGTCACCACGTAGAAGGGAAATAATAAAATAATAAAAATAAAACATAATAAAATTTCGATTTAAAGCTTTCGTGACTGCAGGGATTCATCTTCTTGGTTCTTTCGGTAAAGTCATCACGTAGAAGGGAAATAATAAAATAATAAAAATAAAACATAAAATACAATTCTCACGACGTTTCGGCCACAACGCAAGCAGCCGTCCTCAGGTGAAGAACAGGTCTGTCGGAAAGACAGCGTCTGAATGAACACCACCAGGCTTGGCAGCGTATATTTAAGCTGCTGGGTTAGAGGGGGAAGGGCGCCTTGACAAATGAATTTGCATGTCAACAGAGGAATTGAGCATAATTATGGAAATGCAGATATGGGATTAGTCACTGCTTGTGGAATGCGTAGGAGGGGGGAGGGGGGGTCTCAAAGTCATGTTATGCCCGTGCATTATGTAGGATTAGCAGCAACAAAGGGAGGGGTAGGGTTAGCAGTAATACTGGTAGGAACGAAGTGGACCAGACCACCAATAGATTAATGTGTCTGTCCGTCCGTCCGTCCGTGGGAGGGGTGATGTTGAGGGTGGTGTTGGAAATGAAAGACTACGAGTCTTTAAATCTCACAGCGTTTCTTGTCAAAACAAACACTTTTAATTAACGTTACACTAGAATACAGTAATTTTTTCTTTAACTCCTCTATACCCGGTCGATATCTCTGTACCGGTACTAAGTATTATTCCTACCAGCCCACCCCGCAGGGTCCTGTTAAAGGGAAGGAATTTTAATAGTAAGGAGCTGCCACGCTATTCATTACCTTTACACTATAATACCCCATTAACACTACTTCGGCTACCTTTGTTCTCAAAAACTGATATAAACTCTTGCTGGTAACGGATTCTCTTCACAAGGCAGCAGACATCGCGGCCGTCGCGATTTTCACCTGAAGACGATGGCTTGTGTTGCTATCGAAACGTGATTTATTTTGTATTATTTCTACCTACGTGACTTTACCGAAAGAACCAAAGAGTATGGATTCCTGCAGTCACGAAAGCTTCAAATCAAGATCCAAGAAGTAGCTCCGTTCTGGACCAGGATAATTGGCTCAGGTGTTGAGATCAAAGGAGCCCAGTTCTCGACCAGGACAAGGAGCTCGGGTTCTGTGAACCCCCAAGGAGGGTTTTGAGATCAAAGGAGCCCAGTTCTGGACTCTGAACCTCCGCTTGGGACAATCTGTGAAAAAGACCTTTACAGCTCATTGGATTCCTCCTCTGGGATGAATACATGTTCTGATTCTGATTGAGGTCGGGGCGCCACGGTGTCGTGGAGATGTTAACTTCCTCGCCTGGTATGCAGGAGATCGTGGGTTCATCCCGACCCTGACGCCGCCTGCTGCTGTAAATTTGTAACGTTCCGATCCCGTGCCACTTCTGGACATCTGTGTAAAAGATTTTTATACATAATCAACGTTTTTGGGTTTAGATCGCGTTATTTATAAATGTGTCATAACCCTCCACCACCCGACACGGCCAATCAGTAAAAAAGTGTTATTGTTGACAAAAGACAAATAGTTCACTGCTTTAGCCCACCGGTGTGTTGAAGCGTGAAACCACAACATTATAAACTACACTACTACACTATACCACACCGGTGGGCTAAAGCAGTGAACTATTTGTCTTTTGTCAACGTGACACTTTTTTACTGATTGGCCGTGTCGGGTGGTGGAGGGTTACGACACATTTATAAATAACGCGATCTAAACCCAAAAACGTTGATTATAAATAATATTGGTCGCGTGTTAATATTTTTATAGCTCATCGGATTCCTCCAGTATAAATAAATATTCTGACTCTTGATATTTGGAGTTTGCATGTCTCTCTCTCCGTGGTCGCGTGGATTTTTCGGTTTTTCCTTTCCACATTTATAATCAATATCAGGCATTTAGAGTATTTGGTTGCTATGAATTTCCACGCGATGATGATGGTGATGAGCAAATTCGTTGAGCTATCATTTGTGATAGCCAGGTCGCTTAAATCAGCTTTTTTGTATGTGTGTGTGTATATTAGAATTGCCGATAAAATCAGAAACGATTGTGTACTTTGTGTTTTTGTCCTCTTTCCAAAATTGCAGTTCAGGATTTGAAGATGATTAAACCAGAGGTGGCCAGTGAGAGGCCAGAGGAGACGGGGAGTCCCTACCGGGGTTGCCCGGCCACCGCCGATCAGAACTTCATCGAGGTGGAGTTGTCGGAGGAGGACGTTGGTAGCGAAGAAGGTGAGAGGTCGTCGCATTAGCCGAGAAAGCCATTCGCATCCCCAAGAATGACGCCGATTGGAGAGCTTGGAATTGGACGGCCGATCGGTGTAAGGGGTTTGTGTCGCGTTAACAAAACGTGGCTAATTAGTTCACTATTTCAGCACGAACCGGTTGTTGTGTGCTGGTGAGTAAAACCCACAACAGCGTTTCCAATGCGAGTAACTGTGACGTTTCGCCGGTCGGCGGCGGATTTGACGACTCCTGGAACTCTACTGGGCAGCACGTCCCACTGGGCAAAGACCCCAGGGCCGGCTCAGGACACGCTGGCGGGACGATGTCGCTCGGCTGGCCTGGGAATGCGTGGGAATTCCCCAGGAAAAGCTGGAGTCTGTGTATAGTAGTGTATAGTGTAGTAGTGTATAGTAGTGTAGTTTATAGTAGTGTATAGTGTAGTGTATAGTGTAGTAGTGTATAGTAATGTAGAGCAAGAGTCTGTCTCCAGGAAATGGAGGTCTGGACCGCCCTGCTCGACATGCCGCCGCCGCGACCCTCATCAGAACATTCGGAGTGAGAAACAAACGAATTGACGAATTTGGAATCTTTGTCCTGGAGGAATCCGGTGATGAGCCTATGGAGCAAATTTCTTTTCCTCGAGCGTAATGCATTAAAAAATCGGCCCTTAAAAATGGAAGAGCTCTGGATCTGGTAGATACCTCAACCGAGGCTCTTGTCTTCCACATTGACCGTCCGATCCAGTTTGAAACGTTGCTAACGGACAGACGCGCACGCGCGCACGCGGATGATCCACCGAACCTTGCTGTTATTTTTTTGTGTGCCGCACCTTAAAACCCCGCGCTCTTTTGCGTTTTGTTTTATGTGTGTCGCCACCCGCGCTGCAGACGAGGGAAGCAGCCCGGGGCTTCTGTGCGCAGACTGCGGGAGGGGCCTCGGCGGGCGACCGACGACGAGGGCGGGCCGAGGGAAACGACGCGTCGTCGGCCAGACGCTGCGACGCTGCACGCGCTGCGGGAAGAAACTCGGGGCCTGTGCCCCGGGCAGGAGGAAGCGCAGCAGGAAGAAGCCGTGCCTCGCTGGGGCACCTCCGGACGTTCCCGCGCCGGCGGCTAAGCCCGCCCGCCGTAGGGTCGTGGCGAATGCGAGCGGCGAGATGCCGCACGTGTGCAAGGAGTGCGGCAAGGGCTTCGTGCAGCTCTCCGTGCTGAAGAACCACTCGCGGACGCACACGGGCGAGAAACCGTTCGCGTGCGGCGAGTGCGGCAAGGCGTTCACGCAGCGCTCCAACCTGGCGACGCACTGCCGGGAGCACACGGGCGAGAAGCCGCACGCGTGCGCCGAGTGCGGCAAGCGGTTCTCGCACTTCTCCCAGCTGGACAAGCACTCGAGGACGCACACGGGCGAGAAGCCGTTTGTGTGCGGAGAGTGCGGTCGGGGATTCACGCAGCGCTACAGCCTGGAGATGCACCGCAAGACGCACACGGGCGAGAGGCCGCACGCGTGCGCCGAGTGCGGCAAGCGGTTCCCGGCGCGCGCCGACTTGAACAAGCACGCGCGGACGCACACGGGCGAGAGGCCGCACGCGTGCGCCGAGTGCGGCAAGGGCTTCCTGAAACCGTCGGACCTGAGGGCGCACGCGAGGACGCACACGGGCGAGAAGCCGTACGCGTGCGCCGAGTGCTCCAAGAGGTTCTCGAAGCGCTCCCACCTGGAGACGCACTCGCGGACGCACAGCGGCGAGAGATCGTACGCGTGCAGGGAGTGCGGCGAGAGGTTCCCCCAGCTGTCCGACCTGAGGGCGCACGCAGCGTCGCACACGGGCGAGAAGCCGCACGTCTGCGCCGAGTGCGGCAAGGGCTTCTCCCAGCCGTCCGCCCTGAGCGCGCATTCCAGGACGCACACGGGCGAGAGGGCGTTCATGTGCGAGGAGTGCGGCAAGGGCTTCTCGTATTCGTCCAACCTGAAGAAGCACTCGAGGATACACACGGGCGAGAAGCCGTACGCGTGCGCAGATTGCGGCAAGGCCTTCTCGCTGCGCTGCGCCCTCAACACGCACCGCAGGACCCACACGGGCGAGAGGTTCATGTGCAGCGAGTGCGGCAAGGGCTTCCTCTACTCGTCCACCCTCAAGAAGCACGCGCGCACCCACACGGGCGAGCGGCCGCACGCCTGCGCCGAGTGCGGCAAACGCTTCGCGCAGCGCTTCGATCTGGAGCGGCACGCGGGCACGCACACAGGCAAGAAGCCGCACGCCTGCGCCGAATGCGGCAAGGCCTTCACGACGCGCAACTCTCTCGGCAAGCACTCCCGGAGGCACGCGGCCGGGAACGGGACCGGAAACGCGGCCGAGAACGCGGCCGAGAACGCGGCCGAGAACGCGGCCGAGAACGCGCCCGTCTGAAGGGATGCGAGGAGTGGGGCCGTGGGGGTGGAGGGAAAAGGGATTCGCGCGATGCGGTGATGCGGTGATGCGAACATGAGGCGTAAAATAAGATAACCCGACCTCGCTGAGAATCCACGCGCGTGGAGTGAGCCTCGGGGTAGCGTTTCTGATGGAAACGATTTCTCTAATTAGCCAATGAAATCTAAATAGTTTTCTTTGGGATATTATTATTATTAATCTATTGTTTACCTGTGAAATCATCTTCGCCGAGTCTCAGTAGCCATTTTCAAGGAGGGTCGTCGTGCCAAGTTTTTTCGCAGTGTCATTTTTCGCCATAGCGCACATGCGATTCGCTTCTCTCGCGCCGTGTTCACCGTCGTCACAAGAGGTTAATTCACATTCACTCCGCGATTCGCTTCTCTTGCGCCGTGTTCACCGTTGTTACAAAGAGGTTCAACATGCATGCGTACGTACGTACAATATCGGTTAGATTGTACTTTTTTTTTCGCTGCGAGAGGAACCTCAGACGAACCTGTAATAATCATCTTAATTTTACGTAGCGTCATTCATGCAATTGCATTCCGGCTCATAATTTTCTGGCCACTCCACCACCCCTCCTGTGAAGGGTCTCCTTAAATCCGGTGAAATGTTGGGATTGTGTTCTGGGCCATGGAGACCGAACGCACTTATTTATTTCGATTTATTTTCTCTGTGATGATCATTCTCTTGTTACGTGCATTTTCTGTCATCGTTATTCACGTATTCATCTTTACTTTTTGATTTGCTAAGTAAGTGGGGTTTTTTTTGTAGCATCTGTATAAGGGACTGGGTAATTGATGTGCTGCGTTGTGGGATGGAAATTACATGAATTACGCTATGTTCAATGAAATTATTATTGTTATCAATTAGCCAGTCCCTGGCACAGATGGTAAACGGATGGTAAAAAAAAACCCCACTACTTAGCAAATAAAAAAAACTAAAAGATGAATGAAAAAATAACGAGAGTGCAATAAAATGCACACAACAAGAAAATTATCAGAGAAAGATAAATCAAAATAAATACATCCGTTCGGTCTCCATACCTTCAACCACAATACCGACATTTTGCCGAATTACGTACAAACTCCACTCACGCCCCAATCGGGAGTCGAACCCAGGCCCCCGCTTTCCCGCCGTGAGGCCGCGAGCGTTGCCACCGCACTGCCATTCGACGCTGCCGCTAAACGATTTCGCGTCTTCTTCCTTCAGATCGCACCGCACACTCCACTTGAATCAAACTCCACCGGCCTGGAGCGAGTATTTACAAATCTCATCGATGTGGATTTGAAAGTAATTTCTTAAGAGCGCCGTCGGATGCGTGCGTGTACTCCCCCCGTGAGCACGAGGAATTGATTTAGTATCTGAATCGTTACACGCGCAGTAGAACGGTAATTGGTTCCCACGAAACCGGTCGTGGAGTGATCGTTAAGCGAGTATATAGGAAATACGCGATTAAAGGCTTCAATTCGTTCCGATAGCATCGAAAGTTACCCCTTTTTCACCCCGAAAAAAGCATTTTATAATATTTAAACAATGAATATTAATACACAAAGATACTAACAACATTACAAATATATAATATTAAAAGAAACACGCTGAATCAATGCATTCATTAATATTTACTGTACCTACCAACAGCCCGTCGTTAACAGGGGAATGGTCGGTAAGTGAACACATTGGGCTCTATGGAGGCTCGTCGTTAAGCGATGAGTAGTGAGGGGCCATCCATTGAGTAGGTAACGCAAAAATCTGTCAAAACCCTTCACACCTCCCTGTACGCACGTGTACTTCTTACACCCCCCCCCCCCCACTTGAGTACGTTCGCTTGACGCACCCCCCCCCCCCCCCCGAATCCTATAGAACGGCCGATATTTAATCCACGCAGAAACGATCAAGGATTCATAATATTAACGTGTTTAAGCAAACGGATAGTCCACCGCCGGACTGTTTAACTCATTTTAAGGCCAATGTAGACAAATTATTATCGAGGCTTCACCCCCCCCCCCCATACGCAAGCGTACGCATGTGGTTTAATCCCCCCCTTCCATGCGTACTTACTAAATGGATGGCCCCTTAGCAGAGGTGGACGTTAAGAGAGGTTCTACTGGATACGGTTATACAAAAGGGGCTCTTGTGTTTTTGACATTTAATGTCTATGACGACACGTGCAGAATCGAATCTCGTCACGTCTAAAAAACAAAAGATGTTTTGGATTTTGCCACTGAGCTACATAGAGTAGCTCTTTTCCTAGAAGCGACCTGGTCATCACAAATGATGGCAGCTCAACCAAGTGGCTGATCATCGTGTGGACATTTTATAGAAGCGGCCAAGTAGGCGAAATGCGTGATGTTGAATCTAAATGCGGAGGGGGAAAACCAGAGGAGCCGGAGAAAAATCCACGCGACAACAGCGAGAGAGACACGCAAACTCCAAATATGCAGGCGTCGGGATTGAACCCACGACCTCCTGCATACCAGGAGAGTGCTTGGATGGGTGACCACCACACACAATCGGTTGTCGTGAAACTGCGGACAGCAATTGACCAGTACAGTACTGAAACATCCATTGTTGGACTGTTATTTCTATGCTCCCGCATTATTCTTGATGACATATGGTCTATTAATCTCGATTTTTACGTGTAAAGTGGTTGGTGAAGTTTGTTTTTCAGCTTTGACTTGTCACACGTTAATTTTGCATTTAGCTTAAATCTCGTATCCAGCAAAGCAAATGATGAGTTACAAAAAACCTTAACTTCAAGAGAGTTCCGCTTGAACTGTTGATCCAATTTTTGTTTGAGAAAATTGGCAGTGTGGATTGCCCAGAGAGGGTGTGTGTGCTCTTCACATATCTGGACTACTGTGAGAAAAAAATGCTTTCTAACCCATCGGATTCCTCCAGTACAGGGACTTGTCTACTTACAAACGAGTTAGGTTCCAGAGGTCTGGTCATAAAGTCAATTTGTTCATAAGTTCAACTTTATGCCTGTCGATTACAAACGTGTTGTACGACATGTACAATGAGCATGGGGAATGGCTTTAAAAGTAGTATAATCTGTAGATGTTGATGCCACTGGTTCTTCACGTTCTGCAGATGTAGATGCCACTGGTTCTTCACGTTCTGCAGATGTAGATGCCACTGGTTCTTCACGTTCTGCAGATGTAGATACCACTAAATCTTCACGTTCTGCAGATGTAGATGCCACTGAATCTTCACGTTCTGCAGATGTAGATGCCACTGGTTCTTCACGTTCTGCAGATGTAGATGCCACTGGTTCTTCACGTTCTGCAGATGTAGTATGCCACTGAATCTTCACGTTCTGCAGATGTAGATGCCACTGGTTCTTCACGTTCTGCAGATGTAGATGTCACTGAATCTCCACGTTCTGCAGATGTAGATGCCACTGGTTCTTAATGATCTGTAGATGTAGATGCCACTGGTTCTTCACGTTCTGCAGATGTAGATGCCACTGGTTCTTCACCTTCTGTAGATGTAGATGCCACTGAATCTTCACGTTCTGCAGATGTAGATGCCACTGGTTCTTCACGTTCTGCAGATGTAGATGCCACTGGTTCTTCACGTTCTGCAGATGTAGTATGCCACTGAATCTTCACGTTCTGCAGATGTAGATGCCACTGGTTCTTTACGTTCTGCAGATGTAGATGTCACTGAATCTTCACGTTCTGCAGATGTAGATGCCACTGGTTCTTAATGATCTGTAGATGTAGATGCCACTGGTTCTTCACGTTCTGCAGATGTAGATGCCACTGGTTCTTCACGTTCTGCAGATGTAGATGCCACTGGTTCTTCACGTTCTGCAGATGTAGATGCCATTGGTTCTTTACGTTCTGCAGATGTAGATGCCACTGGTTCTTCACGTTCTGCAGATGTAGATGCCACTGGTTCTTCACGTTCTGCAGATGTAGATGTCACTGAATCTTCACGTTCTGCAGATGTAGATGCCACTGGTTCTTAATGATCTGTAGATGTAGATGCCACTGGTTCTTCACGTTCTGCAGATGTAGATGCCACTGGTTCTTCACCTTCTGTAGATGTAGATGCCACTGAATCTTCACGTTCTGCAGATGTAGATGCCACTGGTTCTTCACGTTCTGCAGATGTAGATGCCACTGGTTCTTCACGTTCTGCAGATGTAGATGCCATTGGTTCTTTACGTTCTGCAGATGTAGATGCCACTGGTTCTTAATGATCTGTAGATGTAGATGCCACTGGTTCTTCACGTTCTGCAGATGTAGATGCCACTGGTTCTTTACGTTCTGCAGATGTAGATGCCATTGGTTCTTCACGTTCTGCAGATGTAGATACAACTGAATCTTCACGTTCTGCAGATGTAGATGCCACTGGTTCTTCACGTTCTGCAGATGTAGATGCCACTGAATATTCACGTTCTGCAGATGTAGATTCCACTGAATCTTCACGTTCTGCAGATGTAGATGCCACTGGTTCTTCACATTCTGCAGATGTAGATGCCACTGATTCTTCACGTTCTGCAGATGTAGATGCCACCACCGCCATCTACTGCGCGGCGGTTGAACTTACGTCTCTCGGTCCGACTTAGGCAACTGGACATACGGACGGGTTTGTTCGTATCTGAAGGTTCGCAAACCAGAGGAGTCACTGTATAAATAAATCTTCTGATTCACAATATCTACGTGCTCGTAATTTTCACTGACATTCGACGAAATTGATTCATTGGTTCGTCTAATTTGAAGCTTAACACTGATGCAACACTTGGCGTGCCAAAACCCCCTAGTTCATCCAGAATACAGCCATTAGATTCGTATTTTGTTTTCAAGTCACGTAGAGTTTATTACACTGCCTGCATAGGAAACATTGCGTAGACTCCCAGAAAAATGTATCGCTGACTTCATTGTCTATAAAGTATCATTCCAAAATCACATTCATTCATTTACTTCGATAGTGGACTCGGTTCATGCGTTTCATTTCTTAAGTTTGTTGAGCCATCTGGACGAGGATTGGGCAAAACCTTAGCCCAACTTTTCACCCAAGAAACTGGTAGAGCAGCACAACCCTAACATTAAAACTAACAAAAACAACGCATTTACGAATCGCAATTAAGAGAGCGACAACGAACGTACTGTCCCATTTAAACGAATAGTTAAAAGGAGAAAAAAGTGTTTGAACTTAAATCAATGGTCCTCATAGATCTTGGACACTGTTGTTCCAATGGCCCCAGCAGGGCTATTATAATTTCACCTAAAACACCGTTAGCCATCAACTGAACACCGCTGCTGCATTCGCAATTTCTGTTATCCCTCACTACGCCTACCCCCCCTCAATGTGCTCAGTCAAGTTTCCGCTCCTTTTTAAATCCTTTATATTAAGTTCGCTTGCTTGCTTGCTTGCGTGCTTGCGTGCTTGCTTGCTTGCTTACGACGTGCAAATCTTTCGGTCGTTTTTTAACCCACTTCCCGTGATCCAATCGAGCTGACATTTTGCACACAGACTCGTTGTGCCAGACAATTAATGTTCGTGAAAAAAAATTCCCAAAATTTTACACTTTTTAGGCAAAAAAAAATAATTATACATATATTCAAATAGAACTCATTCTTGGCTTTGGCTGAACGTCAGAGTGTAAGAGCCCAGAGCGTAACCCCTCCACAGGCCGTGGCGGAGTAGCGCAGTTGGTAGCGCCCTCGCTTCCCATGCCAAAGGTCGCGGGATCGATCCCCGCGTCCTCCACAGGCGAATATATTTTTAAATCCTTTATATTAAGTTTGCTGCCACGCATATAAATAATTTATAGTGAAAAACTTTGTTTTTACGGGTTATACTTATTCCTTTCCTGGCTTGACCTCCACTGGAATCAACTCCCACTTCACATCGAGCAGGGCAACTTCACTCACCATTTTTGTTTCCTCCCTTAAGACTCATGTTTATTTCAAATCGCGTATCTCTCTACTACTTCCTGTCCTCACCCTTATAACCTCTTAACCATCGTTCCCCTTCCTCACCTCTCCCCCCTCTCTTTCAGAATCATCACCCTCCCTTAGGGGCCGTCCATAAATGACGTCACGCGATTTTGGACGACTTTTGACCCCCCCCCCCCTTCGTCACACGGCGTCACAATATGACGTCACAAAGCTCTGCCCCCCACCCCCCCAAAATAAAACGCTTCAAATCTCTTTAAACTATTGTCATTGTAGTGCGTATTTAATGTGGCGCTGCACTCTGATATTGTAGGAGAAAACATTTATTAAAACGTCTATTTAATTAAGTAGAACGTGTTGTCTATATTTATTTAAAGTTTCGCATTTTTACGTGACGTCACATTTCTCAACCCCCCCCATCGTCACACATCGTCACAAATGTCTGCCCCCCCCCCCCCCCCAGCGTAACGTCTCCAGCACACGTTTTTTCACGTGACAAACCTTACTAATTCGTCATACGTATGTTGAACATCTTTCGCACCGTAGATAGCCAGCCGTGCTAATTGGAGGTGTGAAGGGTTTGGCTGTGTCGGGTGGTCGTGGGTTCACGACACATTTTATATTTACGCGCTCTAACCCCGAAAAAAACTCCTTATCATGAATCATTCGTCTTGTTCGAATTACTATATTTTTTGTCACTTTCAAGCACTGTCATTCTATTTCCGTTCGAACAATTTCACTCGGTGGAATTGTCATCCGTTGTTTTGTTTTGCCAACGTGCTGTGAAATTGGTTCCTAACAGGCCACAGACCGGTACCGGTCCGCGGCCCGGGGGTTGGGGACCCCTGCACTTCACCATAGACTACACTATACACTACATTATATACTACACTATACACTAGTGCTGTACTAGTATACTACACCATACATTACACTATACACTACATTATATACACCATACACTACACTATACACTACACTATACACTACACCATACACTACACTACACACTACTCTATACACTACACTATACACTAGTGCTGTACTAGTATACTACACCATACACTACACTATACACTACACCATACACTACACTATATACTACACTGTACACTAGTGCTGTACTAGTATACTACACCATACACTACACTATACACTACACCATACACTACACTGTACACTACACTGTACACTAGTGATGTACTAGGATACTACACTATACACTACACCATACACTACAATATACACTACACCATACACTACACTATACACTACTCTATACACTACACTATACACTAGTGCTGTACTAGTATACTACACTAGACACTACACCATACACTACACGATACACTACACTATACACTAGTGCTGTACTAGTATACTACACCATACACTACACTATACACTACACTATACACGAGTGCTGTACTAGTGATGAATTAGCACATTCTGTTTACGTGACAACCATTACTAGTTGGCTGTGTCGGGTGGTGCCGCCACCACCCGACACATTCATATATTTACGCGATCTAACCCAAAAAAAAAAACCTCTAACTTTTTTATTTGTCCATGTAAGGCGTCAACTAAGCTGCGATACAGATTTTTTTTTCCAGAAGAAAACCTATCACAAACGATAGTCCGTCAACGAAGTTGGCAGCTCATCATCATCTATCCAGGCTAAAATAAGATGCAATCCTCATCCTCTTTTGAGTTGCGGATGACGATTACATTCGGGACGATAGCTCGTTTCCAGTGCGTCGTCTTGTTCAGCATCGTGTCGTCTTGTGCCGCATCTCGTCGTCTTGTTCAGCATCGTGCCGTCTTGTTCAGCATCGTGTCGTCTTGTTCAGCATCGTGTCGTCGTCTTGTGCCGCATCTCGTCGCTGCAAGCTGCTGATGCGTGGAGCTTCGTAGGTGGAGGTGAAATTCGCTCAAGACGAGAGGTGAATTCACATTCACATTGTGATTCACTCTCTCGCACCGTGTCCACTGTTGTTAGAAGAGGTGAATTCACATCACACTGATTCACTCTCTCACACCGTGTTCACTGTTACGAGAGGCGAATTCACATTCACGTTGTGATTCACTCTCTTGTACCGTGTCCACTGTTGTTAGAATATGTGAATTCACCTCACACTGATTCACACTCTCGCACCGTGTCCGCTTGTTACAAGAGGCGAATTCACATCACACTGATTCACTCTCACACCGTGTTCATCGTTGTTACGAGAGGTGAATTCACATCACACTGATTCACTCTCTTGCACCGGGTTCACCGTTACGAGAGGTGAATTCACATCACACTGATTCACTCTCACACCGTGTTCATCGTTGTTACGAGAGGTTAATTCACATCACACTGATTCACTCTCTTGCACCGGGTTCACCGTTGTTACGAGAGGTGAATTCATATTCACGTTGTGATTCACTATTGCACCGTGTTCACTTGTTACGAGAGGTTAATTCATATTCACGTTGTGATTCACTCTTGCACCGTGTCCACTGTTTAGAAGAGGCGAATTCACATCACACTGATTCACTCTCTCACACCGTGTCCACTGTTACGAGAGGCGAATTCACATTGTGATTCACTCTCTCACACCGTGTCCACCGTTGTTACGAGAGGTTAATTCACATTCACGTTGTGATTCACTCTTGCACCGTGTCCACTGTTGTTAGAAGAGGTGATTTCACATCACACTGGTTCACTCTCACACCGTGTTCACCGTTGTTACAAGAGGTGAATTCATATTCACGTTGTGATTCACTCTCTCGCACCGTGTTCACCGTTACGAGAGGTGGATTCATGTTGCAATTCACTCTCGCACCGTGTCCACTGTTGTTAGAAGAGCTGAATTCACACTCATGCTGCGAGTCACTCTCTCGCACCGTCTTCACCGCTACGAGAGGTGAATTCACATTCACGTTGTGATTCACTCTCCCGCATGTCCACGCATGTCACGTCGAAACGCGTTACTTTCGCTTCTCAGATGGAATCAATGGCGTTGCCATTCATCAAACAAGAAAATGAAGACGACTTAAGTTTTGGGACGTTGCCAGCTTTGACAGTCAAATATGAAGAGGACGCCGATGCTGGTGAGATGAGCGGATCTGGATGTGTGTGTGTCTTGGCCACGTTGGAGATGTTAACTATCTCGCCTGGTGTGCAGGAGGTTGTGGGTTTGATCCCGACCCCTGACGATGCCTTCTGTATATTTGGAGTTTGCATACGAACTACCTCGCCTGGTAAGCAGGAGGCCATAGGTTCTATCCCAACCCTGACGATGCCTTCTGTATATTTGGAGTTTGCATACGAACTACCTCGCCTGGTATGCAGGAGGCCATAGGTTCTATCCCAACCCTGACGATGCCTTCTGTATATTTGGAGTTTGCATACAAACTACCTCGCCTGGTATGCAGGAGGCCATAGGTTCTTGCCCAACCCTGACGATGCCTTCGGTATATTTGGAGTTTGCATACGAACTACCTCGCCTGGTATGCAGGAGGCCATAGGTTCTATCCCAACCCTGACGATGCCTTCTGTATATTTGGAGTTTGCATACAAACTACCTCGCCTGGTATGCAGGAGGCCATAGGTTCTATCCCAACCCTGACGATGCCTTCGGTATATTTGGAGTTTTCATGTTTGAAGTTTGATGTTAATTACCTCGCCTGGTATGCAGGAGGCCATAGGTTCTATCCCAACCCTGACGATGCCTTCGGTATATTTGGAGTTTGCATGTTTGGAGGTTGATGTTAATTACCTCGCCTGGTATGCAGGAGGCCATAGGTTCTATCCCAACCCTGACGATGTCTTCGGTATATTTGGAGTTTGCATGTTTGGAGGTTGATGTTAATTACCTCGCCTGGTATGCAGGAGCTTGTGGGTTCGATCCCGACCCCTGGCAATGCCCGTTGTATATTTGGAGTTTGCGTGTCTCTCTCTCTCCCCGTAGTCGCGTGGATTTTTCACCGGGTCCCTCCGGTTTTTCCCTCCACACTTAGAATCAACGTCACGTGTTCAGAAAATCCGGCTGCTATAAATGTCCACATGATAAGCCACTTCGTTGAGCTATCATTTGTGATAGCCAGGTCGCTTCTGAAAAAGAGATACACAGCAGCTCTGTGGGGCCTTACCTGGCTACAAAAAAAGTTTAGTTTTTTATAAAAGTTTTGCTGGCTGGCTGGCTGGGAGGAAGGGATGGACTGGCAGTCGCATCTTAAGGACATGCTGATTCCTCGTTCCGTTGTTATTTTGGTTACCCGGATCAATCGTGCATATGAGAGTCACCCTCACCTCTCTTGAGGTCTCACCCGCTTAACCAAAACCAACTTGAACTCATAAGAATCAAACCGGTTCACCAGGAAAAAGAAACATTGTTGTTATTCGTGTCGAGCGGTAGAAACACTCAAAACCATTGATTTTTTTGGACGGCGTCGTTTGCATCTGCGTTGGATCTCCCGCCATTGAACGACGGTGATGTTCTCTTGAGGTCTCACCCGCTTAACCAAAACCAACTTGAACTTATAAGACTCAAACCGGTTCACCAGGCAAAAGAAACATTGTTGTTATTCGTGTCGAGCGGTCGAAACACTTAAAGCCGTTGATTTTTTTGGACGGCGTCGTTTGCATCTGCGTTGGATCTCCCGCCATTGAACGACGGTCGATGTTTTCTAAACTCCAGCTTGGCACGTGAGCCTCGTTAAAGCTGAAGGAGTTGTTGAGATGCCAGAGGAGACGGAGAGTTGCCAGGGAGAATACCCGGCCACCGCAGACCGTAACTTCATCGAGGTGGAATTGTCAGAGGAGGACATCAGTCAAGGTGAGTTCCCATTTTAATCACGGATAACACTGGTCAACACACTTTTTTTGGCATAAGGTATTCCAACGGTTTTAAGGTAATTTTGTGGTGCTGATTCCAAATTTGGCATCAGTTTGTGTCTATCACATCAGGTTTTTGAGTTATCAGATATTGCATTTTCAATAAAAACTGCAGAAGAAAAATATTAAATAAATGTGGATATCTACATAAAATGATATTATAAACACACTATCCTAAAAATACAGCACCATATTTTAACACTAAAGCAGTCACTGACTCGCAACAACTTGCAATCATAAGTGACAGAGTTAATTTCGGGTAAAATCAATGAAAATGGGGTATGCCGATAGCATAAAATGAGATGTGATAGAGCAAATCTGAGATCAGATTTGGAATCAGCACCCTGAAATTAGTCTAAAACAGCTGCAAAAGTCCAGGCCAGAAAAAAAATGTTTTTTTTGTTGTTGACCAGTGTAATATAAAAAAGGTAATGTCTTCTTGTATCACCAATCATAGCTCAGTGGTGCTGCAATACAGCCAAAGTAATAATCTATAAAACTATATAACTATTTTTTATTGAACCGGGTTAGGGCCCACTGAGGTGTTAGCTTCTTTTTCATAAGCGACGTGGCTATCGCAAATGATAGCTCAATGAAGTGGCATATCGCGTGAAAGTTTAGAGCAGCCGAATGCGCTAAACTCGTGATGTTCATTCTAAATGTGGAGGGAAAAACCGGTTACTTTTGGCAGCTCCACCGACTGTAGTCATCCGTTGACGTCACCGCAGCGACGTTTAAAAAAATTAATATTGGGAGCCATACCACAATCCACTTGACATGCTTCGTTGCCGCTATACCTTGAACCCTGAACGCCTCGTTGTGTTTGACACCGTGCGGCAGACGAGGGACGCGTGCCGGAGCTGCTGTGCGCAGACTGCGGGAGGGGCCTCGGCGGGCGACCGACGACGAGGGCGGGCCGAGGGAAACGACGCGTCGTCGTCGGCCAGATGCTGCGACGCTGCACGCGCTGCGGAAAGAAGGTCGGGGACGGGAAGGAGCGTAGCAGGAAGAGGCCGTGCCTCAGCGGAACGCCTCGGAAGGCTCCCGCGCCGGCGGCTAAGTCGGGCCGCCACAAAGTGACGAACGCTAGCGGCGAGAAGCCGCACGTGTGCAAGCAGTGCGGCAAGGGCTTCGTGCAGCTCTGCATTTTGAAGACTCACTCGCGGACGCACACGGGCGAGAAGCCGTTCGCGTGCGGCGAGTGCGGCAAGGCGTTCGCGCAGCGCTCCAACCTGGCGACGCACTGCCGGGAGCACACGGGCGAGAAGCCGCACGCGTGCGCCGAGTGCGGCAAGCGGTTCTCGCACTTCTCCCAGCTGGACAAGCACTCGAGGACGCACACGGGCGAGAGGCCGTTCGCGTGCCAGGAGTGCGGCAAGGGGTTCACGCAGAGTTACAGCCTGGAGATGCACCGCAGGGCTCACACCGGGGAGAAGCCGCACGCTTGCGCCGAGTGCGGGAAGCGGTTCACGGCGCGCGCCGAGTTAAACAAGCACGCGCGGACGCACACCGGCGAGAAGCCGCACGCGTGCAAAGAGTGCGGCAAGGGCTTTTTGAAATCGTCGGATTTAAAGACGCATCTGAGGACGCACACGGGCGAGAGGCCGCACGCCTGCGACGAGTGCGGGAAGGGGTTTTCGAAGCGTTCCCATTTAGAGATTCACTCGAGGACGCACACGGGCGAGAGGCCGTACGCGTGCGACGAGTGCGGGAAGAGGTTCTCCAACCGCTCGCATTTGGTGACTCACTCGAGGACGCACACGGGCGAGAGGCCGCACGTGTGCAAGGAGTGCGGCAAGGGGTTTGTAGCGCGCACCGATTTAAATAAGCACTCCAGGACGCACACGGGCGCCAAGCCGCACGTGTGCGCCGAGTGCGGGAAGGGGTTTTCGCAGCGCTGCGCTTTGAGTACGCACTCGAGGACGCACACGGGCGTGAAGTCGTACGTGTGCGAGGAGTGCGGGAAGGAATTTTCATATTCTTCCACTTTGAAGAAACACTCTAGGACGCACACGGGCGAGAAGCCGCACGTGTGCGGGGACTGCGGGAGGACCTTCGCTCAGCGGTCCGATCTCGAGAGGCACGCGGGCACGCACGCTCGTCAAAATTCGCGCGCGTGCACGTAGGGAGGGAAGGGGCTCTGCAAAACGTTCTACCTGAAGGACGACCTTGCTATTATATTAAGGGCCGTCCATAAATGACGTCACGTGATTTTGGACGATTTTTGACCCCCCCCCCCCCCCTTCGTCACACGGCGTCACAAAAAGTCAGACACCCCCCCCTCAAATATGATGTCACAAAGCTCTGCCCCCCCCTCCCCACAAAAATAATAAAACATGCTTCAAATCGCTTAAAACTATTGTCACTGTAGTGCGTGTTTAACGTGGCGCTGCGCTCTGATGTTGTAGGAGAAAACATTTATTGAAAAGTCTATTTAATTAAGTAGAACGTGTTGTCTATGTTTATTTAAAGTTACGCATTTTGATGTGACCTCACATTTCTCACCCCCCCCTCCCCCCCTTCGTCACACATCGTCACAAATGCCTGACCCCCCCCCCCCTTAGGTGCGTGACGTCATTTATGGACGGCCCTTTAATAACTTTTATAACGCAGTGTTCTGCACGCTCCACGTGGGTTGACGACACGTGTATAGTTACGCGATCTAACCCAACAAAATAAATATCTTTAATATCAATAATATTGTTCGCGAAAGTCTTAACTACTTACTGCCACGTGTTGAACTGACGACGAAGGAGGTGATGGCATCTGCCATGACCTGTTCTGCAGCGGTTTAGGGACTTGACTCCTGTTTCCAAGCCGTTTTACAGCAAATGTAAAATTGTACGGAAGATGATGATGATGGTGGTTGAGATAAGAAAGAGTAGTGGGGTTTAAATTTCGATTTAAAGTTTTCGTGACTGCAGGGATTCATATTCTTGGTTCTTTTGGTAAAGTCACGTAGAAGGGAAATAATAAAATAATACAAATAAAACATAATAAAATTTCGATTTAAAGCTTTCGTGACTGCAGGGATTCATATTCTTGGTTCTTTTGGTAAAGACACGTAGAAGGGAAATAATAAAATAATACAAATAAAACATAATAAAATTTCGATTTAAAGCTTTCGTGACTGCAGGGATTCATCTTCTTGGTTCTTTCGGTAAAGTCACGTAGAAGGAAAATTATTTAATAATAAAATTCTCACGACGTTTTGATTGCAACACAAGCAATCATCATCAGGTGTGAAAACCACAGCAAGAAAATTTGAAAGAATAGTATTGGGGTTATTTAAAGTGGTGGTGGTTTAGTTATGGTGACAGGTGAGCGGTGGTGTAGCGGTTAGCGCGAGCTGCGCTAAGAAACCCACCGACCCGAATATTTGAACCGGTCCTGGGCCTCCCCTAGGTCGATTCAGCCTCAACTGAGTTACGTGGTGCGGTGTGTAAACATCACCACTGGGGAGACAAAAGCGGACCGGGCGTGGTGCTGGCCACCCACCCCCTCGTGTGCCGTGCCGGCCTTCTGTTAGGGTTTCGATTTAAAGCTTTCGTGACTGCAGGGATTCATCTTCTTGGTTCTTTCGGTAAAGTCACGTAGAATGGAAATTAAAAATATAAACATAATAAAATAATTCTCACGACGTTTCGGCCACAACGCAAGCAGCCGTCCTCAGTTGAAGAACAGGTCTATCTTATGGTGACACGTGAGAGTAGTTAAGGAGGGAAAGTCAAGGAAAGGATTTTGAACATTCTCTCTTCCAATTAATATCAGAGACTTCTTCGAGCCCACCCCAGGATCTTTCTTTAAATTTCAGTTTCATGTATTAGGTATATAACCCTGTGAGCCATGCGACTCTTGACTCGGGTGCAACCGCAACAAAACAAAAACATGAACAAGAAACATCTGAAAGTGACTACACGTAAATAGAAAAATCCTGGAAAAAAAAGCAAAGTCTTCCAGAAAAAAACACCGAATTTCAACGCTGTGTGCAAAAATCCCAGTGGGATGCAAGTCAAACAATAACAACCATAAGACAATGTAGATTAAAGTTATCAGGCTAACTCTGTACTACAACAAACAAACATGGCTAAACCAAAACGTTTTCAAAATCACCAAAATCTATATATATAAAATCGTTCATGTCTGTGTGTCTGTGTGTGTGTGTGGACTGCACTTTCATTGGACGGCGGTTGCCCCTGGCAACGGCTAGCCACGCCTTCGCCGCTTTCATTGGACGGCGGTTGCCCCTGGCAACGAATAGCAACTTTTCTCCGCGGGGTGGACGCCATTTTTAATAGCGCGGGGGGGGGGGGGGGGGGACCGGCACCCGTACCCAGCGTTCGCCGGGTGGGAAAATCAGGCAAGGCGGGAGGCTCTGCACGGTGCTAGGCCTCGACACCCAACACGCCACTCTGAGGTAAATTCATACAAATTTCACGTCCTCTACAGAGTGGCGAGGGAGGCAGAGTGGCGAGGGAGGCAGAGTGGCGAGGGAGGGACTCAGCCTCAAAACGAGTAACTGGTGTGGCGTATTAACATCGCCACTGGGGAGACAAAGGCGGCCGGGCGTGGTGGATACAAGTCCCGGGCAAAGCCGGGTCATGACTATGTGTGTATGTGTTTATGTGTATGTCTCTGTGTCTGTATGTATGTGTGTATGTATGTGTCTGTATGTGTTTGTGTGTATGTATGTGTGTGTCTGTATGTATGTGTGTGTGTATTGTGTATGTGTTTGTGTGTATGTATGTGTGTGTTTGTATGTATGTGTATGTTTGTGTGTATGCATGTGTGTGTATGTGTTTGTGTGTATGTGCGGTTATGTATGTGTGTGTATGTGTGTGTCTGCAGCAAGCGCGTGTATGTGTACCTATGGACGCGCGCGCGTGTGTTGTGTAGGGGGAACGGTAGTGTAGTGCTTAGCGTACTGCCTGTGTCTATGTGTGTGTGTGTGTGTCTGTGTGTGTGTGTCTGTGTGTGTGTCTGTGTGTGTGTGTCTGTGTGTGTGTGTCTGTGTGTGTGTGTCTGTGTGTGTGTGTCTGTGTGTGTGCGTGTGTGGTGTGTAGGAGGAACGGTAGTGTAGTGCTTAGCGTGCTGCCTGTGTGTGTGTGTGTGTGTCTGTGTGTGTGTGTCTGTGTGTGTGTGTCTGTGTGTGTGTGTCTGTGTGTGTGTCTGTGTGTGTGCGTGTGTGGTGTGTGGGGAGCGGTAGTGTAGTGGTTAGCGTGCTGTCTGTGTGTCTGTGTGTGTGTGTCTGTCTGTGTGTGTGTTCTGTGTGTGTGTCTGCGTGTGTGGTGTGTGGGGAGCGGTAGTGTAGTGGTTAGCGTGCTGTCTTTGTGTCTGTCTGTGTCTGTCTGTGTGTTTCTGCGTGTGTCTGTGTGTGTGTGCGTCTGTGTGTGTGAGGAGCGGTGGGTGTAGTGGTTAACGCTACGCTGCGCTACCAACCCGGCGAACCGAGTTAGATTCCCGCTCATGGCCACCACCGATCAAGATTATTTGAACCTCACATAGGTCGACTCAGCCTCAAACGAGTAACTGGTGTGGCGTATTAACATCGCCACTGGGGAGACAAAGGCGGCCGGCCGTGGTGGATACAAGTCCCGGGCGAAGCCGGGTAGTACAGCTAGTAAAGCTATAAAATGTCCACGATGACGACCAGCTACTTCGTTTAGCTGACATTTGTGATAGGCAGGCTTGCTTCTGAAAAAGAATTACATAGCTCAGTGGGGCCTTACCTGGTAAAATAAATAAAAATACATCATACTATCAGAGTATGTTTTTTGATAATTGGTTTTTTACCCTTCTATCTGGCAACAAAACTGACACCTTTTTACAAGGAGTCATCTTTGCATAGACCACAATACCTGCAGTCATAATGCAAACAAAAATACATAACTCTGATAATGTGCACTGTCCTTGAAGTTGATTGGTCCACACCCGAGACAGCTTTCCTTAGAGCCTAGTCTCACATGGGTTGGACCAGGCGCTAAGGAAAGCTGTCTCGGGTGTGGACCAATCAACTTCAAGGACAGTGCACATTATCAGAGTTATGTTTTTGTTTGCATTATGACTGCAGGTATCGTGGTCTATGCAAACATGACTCCTTGTAAAAAGGTGTCAGTTTTGTTGCCAGATAGAAGGGTAAAAAACCAATTATCATATTTTACTGGCAAATGAAGTTCAAATGGAGTATGTTTTTTTTGCATTCTGACCACAAGTATTGTGGTTAATGCAGACATGATTCCTTGTAAAAGGTTTCAGTTTGGTATTTTAACATCTTAACACAACTGTTTTGTTTCCAGAAAAAAAGGGAAAAACCTATTCTCATAAAAATATAGTTTAGTTTATATGACCCGGAGCTCAGATCCTACCTAGTAAGACTGACGGGACTCAAGTACCCTGGATGGTAACCAGATTCACTTGAGTGTGCAAGGCAAAGGTGGGTTAGAGTAAGGATTCTGGTGTTCATAAGTTTGCATCTTTGGGTTTGAGGCCTATTCTAGGGAACGTTCTGCTAAGAAGACTACCAGTCATTCGGAGCTATTTTAAGTCCCGTCTGGCCTCCATCCCCTCGTCCTGAGTGGGTCAGTGGTTGAGTGAGCAAGTGAATGGTTGAATGAGCCAGTGAGTGGGTGAGTAGGTGGCGTGGGTGAGTTGATGAGTGAGTGGGTCAGTGGTTGAGTGAGAAAGTGAGTGGGTGAGTAGGTGGGGTGGGTGAGTTGATGAGTGAGTGGGTCAGTGAGCAAGTGAGTGATTGAATGAGAAAGTGAGTGGGTGAGTAGGTGGGGTGGGTGAGTTGATGTGTGAGTGGGTCAGTGACCAAGCGAGTGATTGAATGAGCAAGTGAGTGGGTGAGTAGGTGGGGTGGGTGAGTGGATGAGTGGGTCAGTGAGCAAGTGAGTGGTTGAATGAGCCACTGACTTGAGCGAGTACGTGGGGTGGGTGAGTGGTTCAGTGAGCAAGTGAGTGAGTGAGTAGGTGGAGTGGGTGAGTGGATGAGTGGGTGGGTGAGTGGTTGAGTGAGTGGGTGAGTGAGTGGATACATTGACGCCGTATCGCCCAATAGTTGGAGCCGTGTGACCTGCAGACACTGTCTATCCAATGCTTTCCATGCGCGGTGGCGCGTTGGTGGTGCGATCAACGCATGAAATGCGCACACTTCACAAAAGTCAATTCTCATGACTTATTAAAAAAAAGTCAATTCTCATGACTGTTGTATGTTTTTGTATCATGACTTATTATTAAAGTCGGTTCCATTTGTGTTGCACCTTGTGCAGTGGCTCTGAACTTGGGTTGCACCTCCCCCTGGCAGGGCGAGATATGCCAGATATTTTTTTCTTCAACGTTTTTATTTAACTTGATTCCTCTGTTTATCTGGACCAAATCTTGTAATCAAAATTTCGTCCACTTCCCGTTGTCCAATCAATTCCACATTTTGCACACGTACTCAGATCCGGTAATTCGCTACTTTAAAGGCAATTTACATTTTGTATGGACGTCTTATTATTTATATATATTTGTGTGTAGGTCAAAAACGCCGCGGTCCCTAAACTGTGGAATCGGCTCACACAAGAAGCAGGCGCCATGAAATAATAACAATTCTCACGACGTTTCACCTTTTTCCAAATTTTCTTGCCGTGGATTTCACACCTGATGATGATTGCTTGTGTTGCAGTCGAAACGTCGTGAGAATGTTTATTGTTTAATATTTACATTTTTTTATTATTTTATTATTTCCCTTCTACGTGACTTTACCGAAAGAACCAAGAATATGAATCCCTGCAGTCACGAAAGCTTTAAATCAAAATTGTACATTATTATTTTTTTGTTACAATTAAAAACCGAAGGGGTGCAAGACTACAGCGAATGTTAATAAGAACCGCCGGCCCGATGGGATTGAGGAATTGGCAACCGTCGCTACCTCCACCACGGCGTCTTCAGATTCGTCTTGTCCCGCATCTCGCCGTCTTGTCCCGCATCTCGTCGTCTTGTCCCGCATCTTGTCCCGCATCTTGTCGTCTTGTCCCGCATCTCGTCGCTCTGCTGCTGAGTTGGAGCGTCCGGCAGGTTGGTGGTGAAATTCACTGAAGACGCGAGGTGAATTCACACTCACACCGCCATTCACTCTCTCTGTGTCTCTCTCTCTCTCACCGTGTTCATTGTTACGAAAGTTGAATTCACATTGACACGGCGATTCACTCTCACCGGTTAGAAGAGTTGAATTCACATTCACACAGCGATTCACTCCCGCACTGTGATTCACCCTCGCACCGTTCACTGTTACAGCAGGTGAATTGACACCGCTATTCACCCTCACTGGTTAGAAGAGTTGAATTCACATTCACACAGTGATTCTCTCTCACCGGTTAGAAGAGTTGAATTAACATTCACACAGCGATTCACTCCCGCACCGTTCACTGTTACAGCAGGTGAATTGACACCGCTATTCACCCTCACTGGTTAGAAGAGTTGAATTCACATTCACACAGTGATTCTCTCTCACTGGTTAGAAGAGTTGAATTCACATTCACACAGCGATTCACTCCCGCACCGTTCACTGTCACAGCAGGTGAATTGTCACCGCTACTCTCACCGGTTAGAAGAGTTGAATTCACATTCTCACAGTGATTCACTCTTGCACTGCCATTCACTCTCTCGCACCGTGTTCACCTTTGTCACAAGACGCGAATTCACACTGACATTCACTCTCTCTCTGTGTCTCTCTCTCCTCTCTCTCACCCTGTTCATTGTTACGAAAGTTGAATTCACATTGACACGGCGATTCACTCTCACTGGTTAGAAGAGTTGAATTCACATTCCCACAACGATTCACTCTCGCACTGCGATTCACTCTCGCGCCGTTCACTTACAGCAGGTGAATTGACACCGCGATTCACTCTCGCTGGTTAGAAGAGTTGAATTCACATTCACACAGCGATTCACTCTAGCACCGTTCACTGTTACAGCAAGTGAATTGTCACCGCTACTCACTCTGACCGGTTAGAAGAGTTGAATTCACATTCACACAGCGATTCACTCTCGCACTTGCGATTCACTCTCGCGCCGTTCACTTACAGCAGGTGAATTGACACCGCGATTCACTCTCGCACCGTGTTCACCGTTGTCACAAGACGCGAATTCACCTGTACAGCCCTGGGTATGCAGGTAACTTGTTTCTGCTGTGTACTTACTAACATCTAATGTAACGTTGTTGTTGTTGTGTGCTCCCCACAGATGGCTTCACACCCCGAGTTGCCTTTCGTGAAGCAGGAAAATAAAGAAGACAGCTTCGGCCTCGAGATGTGGTCAGATTTGACGGTGAAATACGAAGAGGAGGACGTCGATGATGGTGAGATCGGCGGATCTGGCCGTGCGTGTGTGTCTCAGCCACGGTGGCTAGGAGATGTTAACTACCTCGCCTGGTATGCAGGAGGTCGTGGGTTTCATCCTGACACCTAACGATGCCTGGTGAATAATTGGAGTTTGCGTCTCTCTATTTCATCATCATAATCATCATCACGGTGGCTAGGAGATGTTAACTACCTCGCCTGGTATGCAGGAGGTCGTGGGTTTCATCCTGACACCTAACGATGCCTGGTGAATAATTGGAGTTTGCGTCTCTCTATTTCATCATCATAATCATCATCACGGTGGCTAGGAGATGTTAACTACCTCGCCTGGTATGCAGGAGGTCGTGGGTTTGATCCTGACCTCTGACGATGCCTGGTGTATAATTGTAGTTTGTGTCTCTCTTTCATCATCATAATCATCATCATGGTGGCTAAGAGATGTTAACTACCTCGCCTGGTATGCAGGAGGTCGTGGGTTTGATCCTGACTCTTGACAATGCCTGGTGTATAATTGGAGTTTGATGTCTCTCTATTTCATCATCATCATCACCGTGGCTAGGAGATGTTAACTACCTCGCCTGGTATACAGGAGGTCGTGGGTTTCATCCTGACACCTGACGATGCCTGGTGTGTAATTGGAGTTTGCGTTTCTCTATTTCATCATCACCACGGTGGCTAGGAGATGTTAACTACCTCGCCTGGTATGCAGGAGGTCGTGGGTTTCATCCTGACCCCTGACGATGCCTGGTGTATAATTGGAGTCTGCGTTTCTCTATTTCATCATCATCACGGTGGCTAGGAGATGTTAACTACCTCGCCTGGTATGCAGGAGGTCGTGGGTTTCATCCTGACCTCTGACGATGCCTGGTGTGTAATTGGAGTCTGCGTTTCTCTATTTCATCATCATCACCGTGGCTAGGAGATGTTAACTACCTCGCCTGGTATGCAGGAGGTCGTGGGTTTCATCCTGACACCTAACGATGCCTGGTGTATAATTGGAGTTTGCGTCTCTCTATTTCATCATCACCACGGTGACTAGGAGATGTTAACTACCTCGCCCGGTATGCAGGAGGTCGTGGGTTTCATCCTGACACCTAACGATGCCTGGTGAATAATTGGAGTTTGCGTCTCTCTATTTCATCATCATCACGGTGGCTAGGAGATGTTAACTACCTCGCCTGGTATGTACGAGGTCGTGGGTTTCATCCTGACACCTAACGATGCTTAGTGTATAATTGGAGTTTGCGTCTCTCTATTTCATCATCACCACGGTGGCTAGGAGATGTTAACTACCTCGCCTGGTATACAGGAGGTCGTGGGTTCGATCCAGACCCTGACGATGCCTGCTGTCGCCGTATATTTGGAATTTGCATCTTTCTCCGTGTTGGTCGCATGGATTTTTCTCAAGATCCCTCCAGTTTCCCCCCCACCACATTTAGAACCGATGTCACGCGTTCAGAGTTATTTGGCTTCTGCTATAAATGTCCACACGATGATGGTTGAGCTATCATTTGTGATCTAAAGAAGAGCTACATGGAAGCTCATTTTGGGGCTTTATTCCTGATTGGCAAACTAGAAACAACCCAGTTCTGAATTTGTATTTTCATTAAAAAAATGATCAACTATTTTTTTTATTTTAACCCAAAAATAAACAATGGTCTTCACTTATAGTTTTTTTTTCGGTAAAGTCACATAGGTAAAAAATTAAATAAATTAAAATGAAAACAACCAAATTAAATCACGACGTCTCGGAAGCAACACAAGCCTCCGTCTTCTGGTGGAACCGCCACAGCAAAATTACTGTAGCGACAACTCGAAATCTAGAAACGATGGTTTTGCCGGCACGCACCACTTTTAAAAAACACGGCCGCTGTGAATTAAATTAACTGCCGATTCCATTTGAATTAAAAGCCCAATGAGACCACATTTTTGTGATCCCCCAGCATCACAGCCTGGTGTGACTGGGGTCTCGCCTGGCTTCAACGCGAAATAAACTAGAATTTTACGAGACTCAAACAAGAGTAATTGGTAAAGTAAAAAAAGCAGCATCATTCTTGTAAGTACAGGAGATCATCGATTATCCGGCGGCTTCGGGGGGAGGGGGCGCCGGATAATCACTAAATCATTATTTAATAATAGTAATAGTTGACGATTATAAGGCACAATTCATTCAAGGATCTCAGTGCGCCGTGCACTAAGTTAGGAAATATAAATAGTGTAAAGTCCAGAGTCCACTGGGTCAGTCATGGGAAGTGTAGGTCAGGCGAAACAGGTCTGAGTCTTTAGAGAAGATCTTAACAAGGTTGAGTGACCTCGCCTGTCTGACCACGAGTGGCAGGGCGTTGCGTAGTCTTGGCACGGCTCATGCAAAGGCTCAGTCGTCCCAGGTACAGAGTCAAGTTCTCGGCACATTGAGCAGATTTAAATTAGCGGATCGGTAGAGGTCGTGACAGCGCGTGTGAGTGAAATTGGATGTTGAATGTAAAATGGTACAAGGCCGTTTAAGGGCCTTGTACATTAGCAGCAACACTTTAAATTGGACCCTACATTTAATTTGCGAGCGAATTTAAAGATTTTATTATCGGGATAATGTGGTCACGGAATGAGGTTTGCGTGAGCATCCTGGCAGCCGGCTGCGTTCTGGACCAGCTGCAGTCGGTCCAAGACCTTGGTCTGAACCCCGAGTAACAGAGTAGCTTACTTAAAATAGTTTTATTTTGCACATTCTTGTATGACATGGTTTATAGGTATTTTTAAATCCTTTATATTAAGTTCGCTTGCTTGCTTGCTTGCGTGCTTGCGTGCTTGCTTGCTTGCTTACGACCGTGCAAATATTTCGGTCGTTTTTTAACCCACTTCCCGTGATCCAATCGAGCTGACATTTTGCACACAGACTCGTGCGTGACAATTAATTTTCGTTAAATATTTTTTTACAACATTTTACACTTTTTAGGGAATTTTTTAAAAATATTTAATTACCAATTGCTTAATGCTGCCAGACAATCATCTGACCCATAGGTGGCAGCCATCTCAAGCCAGAGGACGAGAGGACTCTAGCCGCCACGCATATAAAGGATTTATAGTGAAAAACTTTGTTTTTACGGGTTAATTTTTTATGCATTGTAAATTGGTTTACTTTTTGAAATTGGTATACATAAACGTACAAATAGACACTAAATAAATATGCGACTTTAAAAAGTTACTGTGTTTAATGTACTGTACTTAACACTCCAATCTCGAAGACTCTGCATCATGGAGTAATGTATATACGTGCAGTATTTTCATTGTCTAAGTTGTATGTAGTGTATAATGTACCGTATATAATATTTTACACTAAAATCAAGTGTAGCTACTTTTTTCGTCACGGACATGGTGCCGATCGCCAGACTAGTTGCAGCTTTTGGCGTGCTTTTGCCAGTTTCGACAGATTGGCCCGGGACTAAAGCTGGATAACGTTGGAGGCAGCCGGATAATCGATGATCAACTGTTTTATATCTCCTATCTAGCATTAACATTTGTGCTTTTAAAATTGTATTTATCAATTAACAGCTCAGGATGTTAAGATCATTAAAACCGAGGGTCCCACTGTGATGCCAAAGGAGACGGGGAGTTCCCACGGATGTCCGGCCACTGCAGATCGAAACTTCATCGAGGTGGAATTGTTGGCGGAGGACATTGGTCACGGTGAGTTCCCACTTTGATTACGCCTTAAAAAAAAGTAATGTCTTTTTGTTGTATCACCGATCATAGCTCAGCAGTGCTGCAATACACCCTCAGTAATAAACTATAAAACTATTTTTTATTTACTAGGTAAGGCTCACTGAGCTGCCGTGTAGCTGTCTTTCATAAGCGAACCTGGCCATCGCAAACGATAGCTCAACGAAGTGGCTGGACGGACGCGTATAGGGACTCTACTTATGAGCGAGTTAGGTTCTAGAGTTCTGTTCGTAAGTCAATTTGTTCGTAAGTCCAACTTTACTCCCGTCAATTCCAAACATGTTGTACGGTATGTACACTAAACACGGAGAATGGCTTTAAAAGTTGTTTGATCTCCTGTAAATGTAGATGCAACTGGTTCTTGATGTTCTGAAGATGTAGATGCCACCACCGCCATCTATTGCGCAGCGGTTGAACTTATAACTCTCGGTCCGAAAAGGCAACTGGACAAATGGTTTGTTTGTATCTCTGAAAGTTAATGTTCATAAGTAGAGGAGTCCCTGTAATGCTTTCCCCCTTACAACAGAAGAGTTGTCTCACTGGACATTCGGTTTCTGCTAATGTGCGCGCACCATATGTAGCCGACCTCGCCTAATCGGAGGTGCTTTACCTGTCTTCAAGGAAGACGCAGCCCCAAAAACACAAGTAGCTCTTATCTAGTGTATACCCAATCAAAGCTTTTGTCTATACGAGTCGGAAAGTTTGTAACTGATAAACACGACTTCATGGTGAACTTTCAGCACAGCACAGTGGCGAGGAGATGTTAACTACATCGCCTGGTATACAGGAAGTCGTGGGTTCAATCCCAACTCTTAACGCCTGCTGCTGTATATTTGGCGTTTGCGGTATTTCTTTCCCCTGGTCGTGTAGATTTTTATGTGGGTCCTCCGGTTTTTCAACGTCACACGTTTAGAGTATTTTGCTGTTTGCATTTCCACATAAGCCACTTCGTTGAGATACCATTTGTGATGGCCAGGTCGCTTCTGAAAAAGAACTACGTAGCAGATTAGTGGAGCCTTACCCGGTAAAATAAAAAATAAAAGTAGTTTGGCATCACCGCTAGAGAGAGTGCTTTTCAGTGCCATCACTGCAGCGATCATGTTATGTATATAATTTTTTTAAGTTTCCTGAGCCTCACCCAGCAAAAACCAACGAGTGTGTTTGTCTTTCCTCCGCTTTTGCGCGTGTGGCCATTGCGAAAAAAACCGCACGCGTTGCTAGACGAAGGACGAATGACGGGGATGCTGCCGTACGCCAAGTGGCGCGGACAGGAAGACCTCGGCAGGCGACGGGGAGCGACGGCGGACGAACCCGGAAGGACGACGCTCCAAGGCCCCGCGCTGCGCACCAACGTCAAGGGACGGGGCGGGCGGAAGCGGCGCCCGGGTGCGGATGGGAGGCCGCGTGCGGCATGCGACAAGCGTGGCGAGGGCTTCTCCCAGCACTCCAAATTGAAGACACACGCCAGGACGCACACGGGCGAGCGGCCGTACGCGTGCGACGAGTGCGACAAAGGGTTCACCCAGCTCTCCAAATTGGAGTTGCACTCCAGGACGCACACGGGCGAGCGGCCGTACGCGTGCGACGAGTGCGGCAAGAAGTTCACGCAGCGTTGCAACTTGGAGACGCACTCCAGGACGCACACGGGCGAGAGGCCGCACATGTGCGACGAGTGCGGCAAGAGGTTCACGCAGCGCTCCAGCTTGGAGATTCACTCGAGGATGCACACGGGCGAGAGGCCGCACGTGTGCGGGGAGTGCGGCAAGGGATTTGCGGCCCGCACCTACCTGATCAGACACTCGCGGACGCACACGGGTGAGAGGCCGCACGCGTGCGCCGAGTGCGGGAAGGCATTCGCGCAGCTTTCCGACTTGAAAACCCACTCGCGGACGCACACGGGCGAGAGGCCGCACACGTGCAAGGAGTGCGGCAAGAGGTTCACACAGCGCTCCAACTTGGAGACGCACTCCAGAACGCACACTGGCGAGCGGCCGCACGCGTGTGAAGACTGTGGGAAGAGGTTCACGCAACGCTCCAATCTCGAAATGCATTCTAGAACGCACTGGCGATGATGCTGCGGCCCATGAGAGGATGTCACAGCATTGGACATGTAAGCCGGTTCGCCCTGTGCGAGATGCCCTTTCTGGGGGTGCAAGACATGGGCAGATTTTGTTTGGACGGTAAATCATCGAAACAAATTAAGCACGGGCACGTAGGTACAACTTCCACGTTGTACTAATTACCTTGATGTGGACCAATCCGTTTTAAAGACGATGCATATATTATCAGAGCATATTCTCTGCATGTTCACAAGTACGTGTGGTTTAATGCAGACAGGATTCCTTGAAAACGGATTCTGTTTGGTGTTTTAAAATCTTAACACCTGTTTTATTACCAGAAGGGGTAAACTCTATTGTTATACAACTGCCTTGTTTCATGAAACCTACGTATTTATTAACATAAATGTTTTTTCTATTGAGAACCAAAAGGGTGCAAGGCTGCAGTAAAGGTTAAGAACCATTGATCTAGAAGCATTCAACAGCATCCCAAAGCCGTGTGCGACTGTGCTACCCCGTGGCAGCCGTATTACAAACCACTGCGTATTCATACTGGCGCTGTGACGTACCATTCTCTCGATTGCATTACTATATCCAAATCGCAATCTGCGTTATATAAAAACAAAAATGTGTTCCCTGTGTGACCCGTGCCCGTGCCCACTGTGCCTTGATCTTTCCTGGCCATGACCGTTATCAAGGACGCACACGGGGGGGGGGGGGGGGGGGTGGCGATCTTCAATAATTAATGAAATAAAAGTTTTGGTAGCACTCCTGCGTCATTTTCGTTGTTGCTTCCCTCTGCGACACGACTCTCGCTCTCTGGATCCCAACACCGGCCACGTGCACACACACAACAAGGACTTTCAGAGGGGAGGTGGGGGGTGACGTGGTTCCAAAACGGCATCTGTTTCTTCGTATGGCTCCCAGATACACACACACACAAGGTACTGCCAATGGACCCTGTAATATCGGTGTTGCTGGCGTTACGATTGGACCCCTCGATACGGTTCTCCCTCTCGTCAAGATCCCTTGTCCAGTGGTCGCGTGACTCTGTAATCGTCGTTTCTGGCGTCACAATTGTCCCGGGCCTCCCTCTTCCTAGATCCCTTGTCCAGTGGTCACGTGACGCTTGTAATATCGGTGTTGCTGGCGTTACGATTGGACCCTCGATACGAGCCTCCCTACATTAAAGATCCCTTGTCCAGTGGTCGCGTGACTCTGTAATCGACGTTTCTGGCGTCACAATTGTCCCGGGCCTCCCTCTTCCTAGATCCCTTGTCCAGTGGTCACGTGACGCTTGTAATATCGGTGTTGCTGGCGTTACGATTGGACCCTCGATACGAGCCTCCCTACATTAAAGATCCCTTGTCCGGTGGTCACGTGGCTCTGGCAATCGCGTCACGTGCCCGCCTAACGTGCGTTTGACGAAGGATCGTGGCCCTAACGCACCAGCTATCCCAAGGCAACCGTGACCCAGCAACCATTTATTGGTAACACAACCACACTGTCCATGTGGAGAGGTTTTTTTGGGTTAGATCGCGTAAAGGCAAATGTGTTGTTAAACCTGCCGCCACCCGACACAGACAATTAGTAAGGAGTTTGTCACGTCAACAAAACGTAGCCAATTTGTTACTAGTCCAGCTCACAGGTGTGGTTTGAATAGTAAACCCACGACATTTACAATTTGAGTACGTTTGGCCAGTAATTACAACCAGCATCATCAGGTGACAGCCAGATTTGGGGAGAAATATTGTTTCGGTCTTAAATAAGAGGGATAAATGTGATGACAACACTTGTGAGTTAATCAGGTGCGAAGGTTAGAGGGTGGGGGGTTAATGTATGCATATTAATTACAACGGATATCTAATTACTGGTTGGCTTATTTATAGGGTAATCAACATACATTTACGGGATAGAGCCTTATTTATTGGCTGTGTCGGGTGGTGGCGGGTTTATTGACACGTTTATATTAACGCGATCTAACCCAAAAACCTCTTATGGATATTGGTTTGCGAAAGCCTACGTTTTAAACAGCCACACTGGTTACACCTATAATAACATTCACCGCGTTATATATATGTCCAATTCGCGTTAACTAAACACGAGGCGTTAGAGAGTTAAATGTTCATTTACTTCATTTATTCCATATATTTATTCCATGTATTTATTGTGTTTCTTGTTTTTTTGTATGATGTTATGCATGTAATTACTGTAAACTTCGTGTAAAAATGCTTTATAATGATTTCTTTTGTCTGGAACCAATTAATGTCATATACATTCATTCTCATGGAGAAAAATTTATTCGGTGTTCGAACAAATCGGTGTTCGAATGGCCTTCTGCAACGAATTAAGTTCGATCTCCGAGGTACCACTGTATACGAAGCACTCAGCTCCGTCTGGTCGTCTTGTGTCGCATCTGGTCGCTGTCCGTTGGAGCCTACGCGTCATTGGCCACGCCCCTCTCGTCATTGACCACGCCCCTCTCGTCATTGGCCACGCCCCCTCTCGTCATTGACCACGCCCCCCTCGTCATTGGCCACGCTCTCTTCTTCTTTGGCCTTTCACATCTGTGGCGACTGCCTCTACTCGCTGAATCCGCGGGTGAATCTTCAAAGACGATCGCAAGACGCCCGGGTTAGCCTCTCCTGGAGGTGAATCTTATTCACGGGTCGTCGTTAGCATGCTCGCCAACCCATAGGGTTCATCCCCCCCCGTGTTCTTGTTCAGAGAAAATTGAGTTTTCGGGTCCATAACGGCATTACAGCCGTTTCAAATATACGGGCACACGAAAATGTGTCCATTTGTGTTTCTCGCCTTGTGATGGGACTTTGCAGGATGAACGTTGAGATTTGTAAGGGCACGGGGTGACCAATAAGGTCTGAATTGGTCTGTAATAAGGTACAGCACTGATAAGGGGTTGACAGGTTTGTAATGGTGAGTGTACTAATGGTGAGTGTACTAGTGGTGAGTAGTGGTGGTGAGTGTAGTAGTGGTGAGTGTAGTGGTGAGTGTAGTAGTGGTGAGTGTAGTAGTGGTGAGTGTACTAATAGTGAGTGTACTAGTGGTGAGTGTAGTGGTGAGTGTAGTAGTGGTGAGTGTACTAATAGTGAGTGTACTAGTGGTGAGTGTAGTGGTGAGTGTAGTAGTGGTGAGTGTAGTAGTGGTGAGTGTAGTGGTGAGTGTAGTGGTGAGTGTAGTAGTAGTGAGTGTACTAGTAGTGAGTGTACTAGTGGTGAGTGTACTAGTGGTGAGTGTACTAGTGGTGATTGTAGTGGTGAGTGTACTAGTGGTGAGTGTACTAGTGGTGAGTGTACTAGTGGTGAGTGTACTAGTGGTGAGTGTAGTGGTGAGTGTAGTAGTGGTGAGTGTACTGGTGGTGAGTGTAGTAGTAGTGAGTGTACTAGTAGTGAGTGTACTAGTGGTGAGTGTACTAGTGGTGAGTGTACTAGTGGTGAGTGTAGTGGTGAGTGTAGTAGTGGTGAGTGTACTAGTGGTGAGTGTACTAGTGGTGAGTGTACTAGTGGTGAGTGTACTAGTGGTGAGTGTACTAGTGGTGAGTGTACTAGTGGTGAGTGTACTAGTGGTGAGTGTAGTAGTAGTGAGTGTACTAGTGGTGAGTGTAGTGGTGAGTGTAGTGGTGATTGTAGTGGTGAGTGTAGTAGTGGTGAGTGTACTAGTGGTGAGTGTACTAGTGGTGAGTGTAGTGGTGGTGAGTGTACTAGTGGTGAGTGTACTAGTGGTGAGTGTACTAGTGGTGAGTGTAGTGGTGGTGAGTGTACTAGTGGTGAGTGTGCTAGTGGTGAGTGTACTAGTGGTGAGTGTAGTGGTGAGTGTACTAGTGGTGGCTATCTAATTGCGTTTCTCCCTTGTGATGGGGGCTTTGTAGGATTAACTTTGAGATTTATAAGAGGCATGGGGTGACCAATAAGGTGTGAATTGCTCTGTTATAAGATAGGCACTGATAAGGGGTTGACAGGTTTGTTCTTATCATCCGTTGCAGCAGTGCTGTGTGGTGTGTTATTTTAGATTTGAAGCTTTCGTGACTGCAAGGATTCATACTCTTAGGTTTTTTCGGTAAAGTCGTGTAGGTAAAAAAAATAAACACTTGTCTTGAATAGCTCTCTTCACAAGCTACAGTAATTTTACTGGAGCAGTTACACCTGACGACGGAGGCTTGTGTTGCTTCCGAAACGTCGTGATTTAATTTAGTTAATTTAATTTTTTGTTACCTACGTGACTTTACCGGAAACAACCTAAGAGTGTGTGTTATATTGTATTTTATCAGCTAAGGCCCCCCCACCGTGCTGCTATGTAGTAGCTAATTTTTTCAGAAGTGACCCTGGCAGCAGCCAAATCACTCTAAACGCGTGTGCTGGTGTGGGGAGTGGTAGTGCACAACGCAATATCGCCACTGGGGAGAGAAAGGCGGCTGGGTGTGGTGCTGGCCACCCATCCCCTTCGTGTGCCGTGCCGGCTTCTAGAGGAGCTGCTACTCGCTAACAGCACTTGCCCCAACAGTCTATTACAGGCTATACATAAGGGGGGGAGAGATCTTTTAAAATAATTGTCATCATTTTTTAATCCTTTATATTAAGTTCGCTTGCTTGCTTGCTTACGACCGTGCAAATCTTTCGGTCGTTTTTAACCCACTTCCCGTGATCCAATCGAGCTGACATTTTGCACACAGACTCGTTGTGCGAGACAATTAATGTTCGTGAAATTTTTTTTCCAAAATTTTACACTGTTTAGGGAAAACAAATTAAATATTTAATTACCAATTGCTTAATACTGGCAGACAATCATCTGACCCATAGGTGGCAGCCATCTCAAGCCAGAGGACGAGAGGACTCTAGCCGCCACGCATATAAAGGATTTATAGTGACAAACTTTGTTTTTACGGGTTATACTTATTTTAATAATATTTTTGTATCATTTTTGTATAATTTTTTAAATAATTTTTTATCATTTTGATACTGGAAAAAAGGATCCCGTAGTTAATAGGACATTTTTTCTTGTCTGCGCTTTCTCAGATGGATCCTCGAATCGACTTGGCATTCATCAAACAAGAACACGAAGACGACGCGAGTTTTGGCGTGCACTACGATTGTCGGGTCAAACACGAAGATGCTCTCCGTGCCGCTGGTGAGATCGGCGGGAAATGCCTCAATCTCCAAAACCACGATGCCTCATTTCTACAGCCAATGCTCCGGCGGTTGGCAGTCTTAAGGACGTAATAAATAGAGTGATTGTTACTGTGGTAACTTTACAATACTTCTCATATGTTTTCAATTTACGTATTATTTATCGTCTTAAAAAGTAGCGGGCTTTTAAGACCAATATTCACCACGAAGGTTTGCATGAGGTTAGATCGCGTAAAATGTGTCGTTAAACCCGCCACCACCACCAGACATGGCCAATCAGTAAGGGGTTTGTCACGTAAACAAAACGAGGCCAGTTAGTTACTAGTTCAGCACGAACCGGTTCCGTGTTGGAGAGTAAAACTCACTACAACATAATTGACCAATCAGGGGTACGGGGGTCAGAACGTTTTGACAACAAACATAATACAACGAATTGATAGGAGTGCAAAGTATAAGAAAGGTAAACAAAAAATATATACAAATAAAACTAAACTACTTATTTTTTAAATCCTTTATATTAAGTTCGCGTGCTTGCTTGCTTGCGTGCTTGCTTGCTTGCTTACGACCGTGCAAATCTTTCGGTCGTTTTTTAACCCACTTCCCGTGATCCAATCGAGCTGACATTTTCCACACAGACTCGTTGTGCGTGACAATTAATGTTCGTGAAAAAAAATTCCTAAAATTTTACACTTTTTAGGCAAAAAAAATTTATTTTACATTTATTCAAATAGAACGCATTCATGGCTTTGGCTGAGCGTCAGAGTGTAAGAGCCCAGAGCGTAACCCCTCCACAGGCCGTGGCGGAGTAGCGCAGTTGGTAGCGCCCTCGCTTCCCATGCCAAAGGTCGCGGGATCGATCCCCGCGTCCTCCACAGGCGAATATATTTTTAAATCCTTTATATTAGGTTCGCTGCCACGCATATAAAGGATTTATAGTGAAAAACTTTGTTTTTACGGGTTATACTTATTATCTGACCAGGTAAAGCCCGCTGAGGTATTACCTTATTTTTCAGAAGTGACCTGGCTTTCACAAATGATGAGCTTAACAAAGTGGCTTATCATGTGGAAATGCATAGCAGCAAATTAATTTGATTCCCAAGCGGTCCTGTTTGACTTTATAGCTGCTCAACCCAAGCTATAAGTGCGCTGATACGTGCATTGTCTTTGTACTGTTCACCTTTTGGTGGTGTCTGGTCTGGCACTGGTGAGACTAGGCCATGTGGTGTAGGCCAATCAGTTTCAAGGACAATGCATTTATTATTATCATCAGAGCATGTTTTGCTTGTATGTTCACCACAAATACGTGTGGTTAATGCAGACATGAATCCTTACAAAAGGTATCTCTTTGGCGTTTGAACATCTTAACACCTGTTTTATATTGCCAGAAAGGGTAAAACCTATTTTTATATTTCATACAATTGGACGTCCTTATAATTATAAATTACACGTAGATTAGACCCGCCGTCTGTCATAAACAGTGTTTGCCATTTCAAAAAATGACAGGCTGGGATGTGAATATTGCTTCAGGTGAAGAAGCCGGCGACGGACCAGAAGAGACGGGAGATTCCTACGGACGTCTGTCCGCTCCTGGCCCGATCCACATCAAGGCGGAGTTCTTTGAGGAGGACATTGGTCAAGGTGGGTCCCCACTTTGATCACGGATTTAAAAAAAATTAACCCGTAAAAACTACGTTTTTCACTCTAAATCCTTTATATGCGTGGCGGCTAGAGTCCTCTCGTCCTCTGGCTTGAGATGGCTGCCACCTATGGGTCAGATGATTGCCTGCCACCGTTAAGCAATTGGTAATTAAATATAAAAAAAAAAAATTCCTAAAAAGTGTAAAATTTTGGAAAAATGTTTTCACGAATATAAATTGTCACGCACAACGAGTCTGTGTGCAAAACGTCAGCTCGAGTGGATCACGGGAAGTGGGTTAAAAAACGACCGAAAGATTTGCACGGTCGTAAGCGCGCAAGCAAGTGAACTTAATATAAAGGATTTAAAATGGAATGCCTTCTTGTTTTATCGCCAGACATAGCCTGATCGTGCTGTACGTACGTATGTACGTATGTGCGCGGAACTTCTTCCGCATCGTGCGTAGGCAACCATGCTCATTGGAGTGTATAGTGTAGTATGTATTGTATAATGTAGCATATCGTAGTGTACTGTGTAGTGTATAGTGTAGGTGGCGCTTAGTCTCTTGTCTGCTTTCACAGGCTCACTTTTATCGGCGTCACTTATATATTCGTCAGCCAGGTCACTCCCGTGTTATTGTGGGTCGAGTCTAGCAAGAGCAATCGAGACCCTTCATCTGAGGCGATTCAATAGGGTTGGTCTGTCTTTAATTTTTAAACGAGCCACTATGCCAGTTTTCACGCAGTAGCGTATCTCTAGAACACAACAGTGCACACTCAATATCTTTCAGAATGACCCCCCTTTATCCCGACACTCACACCGAAGCCTACGCATTCCCAAACACTCTCACACCCTTAAATAAGGAACTTTTCACCTTCGAGATGGCAGTTACCACCCACTTTGGCCTGCAATCACAAACAACCCCGACTCCAGGTGAAGCTCCATCCCGCGCGTTGTGGACCACCACCGGCCCGACACTGTCGCCAGAGCGGAGGAAGTGAACCAGGCGCCTGCTGGCTCCTTCCCACCATAGGGTGGCGACCGAGGCAGCCTCCTTGTGCTTCTCTCCTCTCCCCTTCTGCTGAAGTTCCTTTGCCCATCGCTACTTCCCACCGGGCGTCCACCGAAATTCACACACGGACTGTTAACGCAGAGACCCTGGTGCATTACAAAAATATATGTTTAAATATCAGCGCTCTAACCGTACAGTCCATAGTCCTGCCGAGCTTCTACTTACAAAATCATGGATTTTCTGTTTGCACAAAGTCACTTTAAGATGTTTTTTGTTTGTTGCGGTTGCACCCGATTCAAGAGCCGAATGGCTCACAGGGCTATACCTAATACATGAACTTTGAACTTTGAACAGCCTGAAGCTTGACCGTTTCCATGGGCCGCTCCTCTCTCCACTGCTGGCTGGAGCTCGAGAGCAGAGATGCTCATACCTGTCAACCGCTTATCAGTGCCTACCCAATTACAGACCAATTCAGACCTTTATTGGTCACCGCCGCGCCCATTAGAAATCTCCACGTTCATCCTACAAAGTCCCATCACAACGGAGAAACACAATGAAATAGACAATCAGCACGTGTACACTCACCACTTGCACATTCACCACTACATTCACCACTACACTCACCACTAGTGCATTCACCACTAGTACACTCACCACTAGTACACTCACCACTAGTACACTCACCACTACATTCACCACTACATTCACCACTACATTCACCACTAGTACACTCACCACTAGTACACTCACCACTAGTACACTCACCACTACATTCACCACTAGTACACTCACCACTACACATGATAATAACATACCTGTCAACCCCTTATTAGTGCCTACCTTATTACAGAGCAATTCAGGCCTTATTCGTCACCCCGTGCCCTTATACATCTCAAAGTTAATCCTACAAAGTCCCATCACAAGGGAGAAACACAAACAAATAGACAATTTTCTTTTTTGCCCATATTGAAACGGCTGTACGCCGTATAGACCTGAAAACTAAATTTCCCTGTACAAGAATACAGGGTAAACCGTATGGCTTAACAGGTATGGTATAGGGAAAGGGGGTTTGGGAAAAGCAGGGTTCTGGGAGGCAGGGAGGAGAGATAGAACCACGTGCACAGAGTAGCGACACGACCGCCGCTACTCTACGATAGCCGGCACAAAAACTGTGTCACACGCCCTCGCACGTGGCCTCGTGGTGGGAGCCTCGGTGTACCAAAAAGGTTACTTTAGTAGAGTTTTTCTTCCGAATAGGAAAGGGTTAAACCTCTCGATATCACGCTATTCTTCTTCTTGACAGATCAAGATCTGAAGAATGTTAAAGTTGAGGGAAGCGGTGAGAAGCCAGAGGAGACGGAGAGTTCCCAAGGATGTCCTGCCACCGCAGACCAGAACTTCATCGAGGTGGAATTGGAGGAAGAGGACATCGGTCGAGGTGAGTAACCATTGATTCAAAAGTGCCGTAGGACCCTTCCTAACGACCACCCCTGTTAACGACTAATCACTTAAAAAAACGGGCCTCCATAGAGCCCAATGTGTAGTGTATAGTAGTGTAGTGTATAGTGTAGTGCAGAGGTTGGCCGTCAGGGCCAGCAAAGGCTTCTCTGCTGGCCTAGAGATTGTCAGAAATTATATTCTTGGGTCTTTCGGTAAAGTCACGTACAGTGAGGGAAAAAAGTATTTGATCCCGTGCTGATTTTGTACGTTTGCCCACTGACAAAGAAATGTTCAGTCTATAATTTTAATGGTAGGTTTATTTGAACAGTGAGAGACAGAATAACAACAACAAAAATCCATAAAAACGCATGTCAAAAATGTTATAAATTTATTTGCATTTTAATGAGGGAAATAAGTATTTGACCCCCTCTCAATCAATCAGATTCCAAACTCTCCACCATGGCCAAGACCAAAGAGTTCTCCAAGGATGTCAGGGACAAGATTGTAGATCTACACAAGGCTGGAATGGTCTAAAAGACCATCGCCAAGCAGCTTGGTGAGAAGGTGACAACAGTTGGTGCGATTATCCGCAAATGAAAGAAACACAAAAGAACTGTCAATCTCCCTCGGCCTGGGGCTCCATGCAAGATCTCACCTCGTGGAGTTGCAATGATCATGAGAACGGTGAGGAATCAGCCCAGAACTACACTGGAGGATCTTGTCAATGATCTCAAGGCAGCTGGGACCATAGTCACAAAGAAAACAGTTGGTAACACACTACGTCGTGAAGGACTGAAATCCTGCAGCGCCCGCAAGGTCCCCCTGCTCAAGAAAGCACATATACATGCCCGTCTGAAGTTTGCCAATGAACATCTGAATGATTCAGAGGACAACTGGGTGAAAGTGTTGTGGTCAGATGAGACCAAAATGGAGCTCTTTGGCATCAACTCAACTCACCGTGTTTGGAGGAGGAATGCTGCCTATGACCCCAAGAACACCATCCCCACTGTCAAACATGGAGGTGGAAACATTGTGCTTTGGGGGTGTTTTTCTGCTAAGGGGACAGGACAACTTCACCGCATCAAAGGGACGATGGACGGGGCCATGTACCATCAAATCTTGGGTGAGAACCTCCTTCCCTCAGCCAGGGCATTGAAAATGGGTCGTGGATGGGTATGCCAGCATGACAATGACCCAAAACACACGGCCAAGGCAACAAAGGAGTGCCTCAAGAAGAAGCACATTAAGGTCCTGGAGTGGCCTAGCCAGTCTCCAGACCTTGATCCCATAGAAAATCTGTGGAGGGAGCTGCAGGTTCGAGTTGCCAAACGTCAGCCTCGAAACCTTAATGACTTGGAGAAAATCTGCAAAGAGGAGTGGGACAAAATCTCTCCTGAGATGTGTGCAAACCTGGTGGTCAACTACAAGAAACGTCTGACCTCTGTGATTGCCAACAACGGCTTGCCACCAAGTACTAAGTCATGTTTTGCAGAGGGGTCAAATACTTATTTCTCTCATTAAATTGCAAATCAATTAATAACATTTTTTACATGCGTTTTTCTGGATTTTGATGTTATTCTGCCTCTCACTGTTCAAATAAACCTACCATGAAAATTATAGACTGATCATTTCTTTGTCAGTGGGCAAACGTACAAAATTAGCAGGGGATCAAATACTTTATTTCCTCACTGAATGTATTTTACAAAGTTCATTCCTAACGGTCTTTTAACATCACTTCATTGCTACTTTCTCTCTCAGTTGCGCTGCTTCCAGTGCAGCTCATATAAATTAGAGCTTTTATCCAATCAGATTTTCCACCTGTGCTGTCTCCGGGTGAAAAATCTACCCTGAGGCCTTCAGAATTTAGAGTGAATCCCCTCTGCTGTTGAAGCAATTAGGGACAATGTGTTACTTGTCATATTCTTTAACCAATCAGATTTCGAGTTTGCCAGATTGGGCGTATTCTTTGACACCCTGGACCCTTCTAGTTTGCTTAGCCACCTACGTTAACATTTTTCGTGTGGCGTGATCGGAGGGCCAGTTAGCAAACTGAATTAAAACTAGCTAGCACGTAACGTAACATCATCTAAGATTTGAACTTTCTTTCGTGACGTTTAGATTTTTAGACGTAGTGCTTTAGATTTTGTGTTTAGATTTTTACTTAGCCCTGTTGTTTTTTAACGCACAATGGCTGAAGGAGGAGAAGAAAAGGATTTGGTGGCGGATTTACTGGCAAAGCCTTTTTCGAGTTGGACCTTCCAAGAAAAGCTGGAAATTGTGAGGAAGGGTCGATCAACCCCGCCGCTAGCATCCCTGTCCCAGCCAGGGAAAGGATTTGTGCGGCACTTTCAATCGAGCAACTACGAAAGGTACACCTGGCTTACAGCGTCGAAGGAACATTGCAAATTGTATTGCTGGGAATGCCTGTTATTTGCAACTGACCGATATGGTGTTTGGAGCCACGCTGGGTTTGCAAACCTGAATTGCTTAACCAAGGCAGCAACGAGACACCAAAGCACGGCAGGACACTTGCAAGCAACGGTGCTATTGAAAACGTTCGGAGACACCCGAGTGGATCTACAACTCAACGAACAAATGCGAAGAGAAACGGAGCTCCACAACGAAAAAGTCAAGAAAAACAGAGAAATACTGAAAAGACTGATCGATTGTGTCATCTTTCTGGGTAAACAAGAGCTCTCATTTAGGGGACACGATGAAGGCAAGGAGTCCACAAATAGGGGTAACTATGTTGAGCTTATTTCCTTTCTGGCCGAGCATGACAAAGACTTGCATTACCACCTTTCCACTAACAAAGTGTTTACTGGGACTTCAGGCAAAATGCAAAACGACCTGATTAGTGCTATAGCTGAAGTGATGGGAGAGGAGATAAAAAGGGAGATCAATAAAGCACCTTTTGTCACGGTTATGGTGGACGAAACTACAGATGTGAGTACTGCAGCCCAGCTGGCACTGGTGCTCCGTTATGTGACAGACACTGGTGTCAAGGAGAGGTTTGTCAGATTTGACGATGTTACGAGTGGCAAGCGGGCTGATGACATTGCTGCTCTCATTATCCGATTCTTGGAGGAACACGAATGCCTGGATAAAGTTGTGGCACAGTGCTTTGATGGCGCTGCCGTCATGGCATCTGGACTAAATGGGGTGCAGGATAAAGTTAAGGTGAGGGCTCCTATGGCTTTATTTATACATTGCTATGCACGTGGACTTCATTTAGTACTGACTCAAGGGGCATCAAAGCTTAGAGAATGTAGGATCTTTTTTGCGCATCTCAATGGCCTAGCTGCGTTTTTTTCCAGATCTCCTCGGCGCACGCAGCTGCTTGACGATATCTGCCAGCGGCGTCTTCCTCGTGTGGCACCAACGAGGTGGCAATATAGTTGTAGATTGGTCAGCACAGTCTTTGAGAAGAGAGTTGCCCTAAAGGAGCTATTTGAGCACATATTGGAACACCACGATGAGTACGATGAAGATTCTGTGCGCTGTGCTGACGGATACAATGCACATCTGGATGATTTTGAGTTTTGTTTTATGCTTTCCACTTTTCACGTGATTTTTGAGTATTCGGATGTGCTTTTTGGAATACTGCAGAACAAAACACTCGATGTACAATTCTGTCTGGCGAGAATGGACGAGTTTTGTGACACCATTGAGAGGGAGAGAGGGCAATTTGGTGAGATTTATGAATCTACACTGCGCGAAGCAGGTGCGCCAAGCACACGGAGAGGCCAAGCGCAGGGGGACATTCGCGCAAGGTACCAGAAACTCCACAGCGACATTTTGGACAACGTCCTTGCCCAGATACGGAATCGGTTTAAAGACCACGACAAAGTCATGTTTCTCTCCCTCCTCGACCCTCAACAGTTTCAGACATACCGGAAAAAATTCCCGGATGCGGCCTTCTCCAGCTTAACACAGAGCCACGGAACTTTCTTCGACCTGCTCCGGCTTAAAACAGAACTGACTGTAATGTATGCCATGACAGATTTTGAAGGAAAAAGTCCCGCCGACCTTCTCGCTTTCCTTCAGCAGAAAGATCTATGCGGGAGCATGCGTCAACTTTACACATTGGCATGTTTGGCGGTGACCATCCCAGTATCCACTGCCTCTGTCGAGCGGACATTCTCGGCCCTAAAACGCATTCAAATGTATTCAAGAAATAAGACTGAGCAGGCTCGACTGTCGGCACTGGCCTCCATGGCAATCGAGAAGGACCTTTTATTGGAACTGAAACGCACCGATGTACTGTACAACCGCGTCATTGAACTGTTTATAAAGAAAGAAAGGAGGCTGGACTTTGTCTTCAAATGATGAGTAGCTTTGGTAAGTTTGATGGATTTTTATGGATCTTTACGAGCCAGGTCCGGCACCACGAGGGGTCTTAAGGGGGCTTAGTATTTTTGTATTTAGTTGTATTATTTGTCCCCTCTGTTTAAGCTTTATGTATCTATAGAAAAATAGCAAAGACAACAAAATTATTGGCCGAGACAGTGCTTTTTGTTGTGTGTAGGTGCCGCGATGTCCATAGTACGGAAACGGAGCGGAGGAGATCGATAGACAGACAGACTTCATCCTGGCACCGGGCCTGTTACTAGCTATTTATTATTATTGCTTGCTTTAGATCGTTGCTGCTGGTGTGAATGATGTTCAGATGTAATGGCCTGGCTGTGCCTTTGAGTGTGCATGGTGCCATGTGCGTTTAGGCCAGCGGTCGGGAACCTATGGCTCGCGAGCCATATATGGCTCTTCCGGTGACGGTATATGGCTCCCAGACAATTTTGAGTTGAAAAAAATAATAATACGAAAATAAAAATAAAATCAGTTTGGAACTGATTTTAAAATACTTGTGATATTGCTTAATAATACTGTGTCATTTTAAAGTAAACAGAAATTAGTTTTGAAGATAAAATTTCTCGGGTCACGGGTACCGTGACTAGAAGTAGCATTAAAAGTAAGACATATTTAATTTATTATACGTTAAAAATACTATATGGCTGTCAATGAAATATATTAAGAAATATTTGACTTTTATGGCTCTCCCAGTCAAAAAGGTTCCCGACCCCTGGTTTAGGCCCAGCAGCTTGGCTGGAATCTGTGGGGAAGCCTGTTGAATCCTATTAATATTCTTAGGTTTTTTTCGGTAAAGTCACGTAGGTAAAAAATTTAAATTAATAAAATTAAAATAATCTGTTGAATCCTGATTGTGTTATTTGTATTTTACGGAATTTTTGCTTGCTTGGTGGTCGTATGAGTAAATGTTGTTGTGAGTTTGTACTTGTTTCTTTGGTAATGACATTGATTTGGGCTATGCGATGTCTTTGTGATTCAGCATCCTGTCATACTGTGTAATAGTGGTACATCCTTGATGGTTTCAGTCACCATCTATTCATGTTCTTTGCAATTAGTGTATTGTAACTCTCATAGGTGTTGAGCTTCGTGTTAAATCACTTTAGTCCACTCGATAAAGGTTACAGTCACTGTGAATATGGGGTGGTTACGTCGAATGGCAATAGCCTATAGCCCTAGTGTAATGGTGAGGTTATTCGAAGGCGGTTTAATTTCGGCAGGATAGCACTGAAGGCCTGGTGTAAAATACACGGCAGAGGTCGCAAACGGGTTTTGATTCCTTACCCGTACCCATACCAGGCCGCACCAGGGTCGCAAACGGGTACCCTACCCGATACACGGCCGGCTACGGATAGCCGGATATCGGGTAGGGTACGGGTATCGGGTAGGGTACGGGTATCGGGTACCCGATTGCGACCTCTGGGATGAAGCCATGTTGCAGGCGCGGGTGGGTTGATTCTAGGAACTTGAATTGTGAGAAGAGACAAGACGTTGGGAAATGAGTGACAAACGGTTACTCACCAGTGACTCACGGCCTTCTCACTCATTGGTTGTGGTGAGTCACGTGCGGCTACCCGTACCCGGCCGCACCAGAGTCGCAAACGGCTACCCGTACCCAGCCGGGTACGGGTAGCCGGGTATCGGGTAGGGTACGGGTATCGGGTCCCCGTTTGCGACCTCTGATACACGGCCTGCCACTGGTGTAGTGTATAGTAGTGTAGAGTAGAACTCCTCTTAACGACCACTCTTGTTAACAACTAATCATTTAACGACGGACCTCTATAGAGCCCAATGTGTTCGCTTACTATTAATTCCCCTGTTAACGACGAGCTGTTGTAGGTACAGTAAACATGAATGCATATGTAGTATAGAATCGGTTACGTAGCAGCATAGCGTTAGCTGTTGGCTAGGAGGTGGATCTGCAGCTTGCAGTAGCCCTGACTGATATTTTTGACTTACGATGGGGTCGTCGTAACGCATCTCCATCGTACGTAGAGGACTACCTTAGTTCGATGTCTCGGTTTAGCGCTGTCAGTGTCAGACGGCTGGCGTTGTGAATAGGCTAGCAACTTACATATAGTTGTATCTCAACGAGAGGGAGAAGAGTGTGTACCAGCGTAGGGTGTGTATTGTTAAAAGGGTACTCGATTTAATAAAAGAACTGCCTCCAAGGACGTGTGTCTCCAAGTCAGTCACTACACATTGATTATTCCCGTTTCTTTTAATATTACGTGTTTATAATCTTGTTTGTATATGTATTAATATCCATTGTTTAAATATAATAAAGTACGTTTTGTGGGTGAAAAATGATAACTTTCGATGGTATCGGAAAGAATTAAGCCTTTAACGTGTATTTCCTATACTTGTGTAGTGACATCGAATCGGTCACTATGTAGCATAGCGCTGGCTGCTGGCAGGAAAAGGGATCTGCAGAGTGAAGCAGCCCTGATTGACAGCAGGCCACGTGATCAACCCGAGAGGGATCTCGGGTAAAGGTTACGGAGAGGATGCGTCGAGAGCCCGCTCGTCGGTTCCAGAAGGGGGGTGTGGCCGAGGTGGAGCGAGGCCACGCTAACAGGATAAAAGGGGACCTCGAGCGGGATATCGGGGCCGTCGTTGCAGTGGGATCCCCTTGTCGTCGTCGCTGTCGTCGTCCACTGGATAATTGCGCTGCTAGCAGTAGTTGGCTGTCTTAGCTCAGCGCCGTCAGTGTCAGATGGCCAGCGTTGTGTTGTAGGCTAGCAACCAGTATATAGTTGCATTTAAGCGAGAGACAGAGCGTTGTGTAACAGCAGAGAGTGTGTAACAGTTTGCTCGGTGTTTAATTAAAGAATTGCCACCAAGAAGTTATGTCTCCTAGTCAGTCACTGCACTCGCTTAATGACCGGTTTCACGGAACCAATTACCATCATTAAGAGAGGTTTATTTTCGGTTAGATCGTGTATGTATGTACGTTTAACTTGTTTGGCACTGTACGTAGCCAACCGTGCTACTAGGAGGTGCGGGGGGGGGGGCAACAAACTAAACACAAAAAGCAGTTCTAAAACAATGAGTTTCTCAATCTCGATGATTATTTAAAAGTGCATTGCTGCCAATGGCTTCCTAATATCGGAAGAAAGAGCGTTCAGACGGCCCCAAAAGCGTCATCTGAAAGTGCCGCACGATACGGTGACCGTCTTTTTTCTTTGGCCAGCCAAAAGTATAGTGTAGTGTATAGTGTCGGGTCTAGTGTAGTGACTAATGTAGTGTATTTTATTGTGGAGTTTTTATCGCATCTGAAAGCGACGCGCAATGCGGTGGCCGTCTTTGTTCGATGGCCAGCCAAAAGCCGCTGCGAGTATGATCAGAGTTCACGTGATGGTTAATGTACGTTAAACTTCTTTCGCACCACACATAGCCAGCTGTGCTAATTAGAGGTGCAACAAACACAAAAAGGTGTAGGTCTAATAATGTTGGTTAACGAATGACCCTCCGCCATCCGACAGAGGTGAACAAATCGAAGTTGCCATGTGGCCCGATATGCCAGTTTGATTTTTGGTTTGTCTGCAAAGTGGAATGTTGAAAGGCAGGCGAACATTTTCCCATCTTTTTTGTTGTCGTTGTTGTTGTACAGCCGTAGCGTTGACCGCAGCGAGGTTGATCCGTAATATACCGGGATGGCACGCGTGACTGAGGTTTTTAATTATTTTTATTTTATATTTTACCCTGTACCTTGTCTGTCGGTTTTGAAACAAACGTGCTGCCTAGACGATGAGAGTGCGACGGGACCACCCTGCGCAGAGTGTGCGAGGGAGCCGCGTGGACGACTCCCGACGGAGGGGCACGGGGAGAGGCGCACCGGCGGGATGCTGCGAGGCTGTTCGCGGTGCAGCGGGTGGCGGCAGTCGCTCGGGGCCTCCGCATTCGGCGTCGACAGGAAGAAGCCGCACGAGTGCGGGGAGTGCGGCAAGGGCTTTGCGAGGCCCTTCGACCTAAAGAACCATGCGCGGATACACAGCGGCGAGAGGCCGCATGCCTGTGCCGAGTGCGGCAAGGCGTTCGCGCAGCGCTCCAACCTGGAGACGCACGCGAGGACGCACAGCGGCGAGAGGCCGCACGCCTGCGTCGAGTGCGGCAAGGGGTTCTCGACGCGCTCCAACCTTGAGACGCACGCGAGGATACACAGCGGTGAGAGGATGCACGCGTGCCGCGAGTGCGGCAAGGGGTTCACGCAGCGGACCAACCTGGAGACGCACCTGAGGACGCACACCCGCGAGAGGCCGCACGTGTGCTGGGAGTGCGGGAAGGGGTTTACGGCGCGCACCTCGCTGAACAAGCACTATAGAACGCACACCGGCGAGAAGCCAAACGTGTGTCCCGAGTGCGGCAAGTGCTTCGCGCAGCCGTGCGATTTGAAAATCCACTCGAGGACGCACACCGGCGAGAAGCCGTACGTGTGCAGGGAGTGCGGGAAGAAGTTCTCGCAGCGTTGCAATTTGGAGACGCATTCCAGGACGCACACGGGCGAGAAGCCGTACTTGTGCAACGAGTGCGGAAAGAGGTTCTCAAAGAATTCCAATCTGGAGACTCACTCGAGGACGCACACCGGCGAGAAGCCGTACGTGTGCAAGGAGTGCGGGAAGAGGTTTACGCAGCGCTCCAATTTAGAGACGCACTCTAAAACGCACACAAGTGAAAAGCCGCACGTGTGCAGCGAGTGTGGGAAAGAGTTTAGGTTGCGCACCGGCTTGAAAAGACACTCGAGAACGCACACCGGCGAGAAGCCGCACGTTTGCACCGAGTGCGGCAAGGCGTTTTCACGTTGTTCCACTTTGAAAAAGCACGCCAGAACGCACACGGGCTAGACGCCGCACGTGTGCAAGGAGTGCTTGAAAGGATTTCCAAATCCTTCTCACTTAAATCGGCATTCTGTGAAACACACTTCCGCGAGAAGCCACACATTTGAAGGGAGAGGAGGAAGGGGTTTGTACAATGTTGCGATTTTTGACAGTCATTCTAAATCCATACAGGGGTTTCTTGTATATATTCAGTCTTGAATTAGTTTTTTTTAAATGAGATGAAAATTTAATGTGTAATTGAACGAATTTATGCTAATTTATGTAATTATGCAAAGTATGAATTTATACTAATTAGGCCCTGTTTCGTTGCCAATGGTTATTACCGATGGTGATAATAAAATTAAGGTGTAATTGTATGAAGTTATGCAAGTGTATGTAATGATGCTAATTAGGCTTGGCTTTGTTGTCTAGGGTTGTATTATCAATCGGGATAATACAATGATTCTCACTTTAACTTTTACTGATTATGTTTTCGTGTGTTTGTCAGGTCTCAAAATTCAGATCTCACCGCAGGAAACAGTTCTTATAATTAAGATTAGTATGCATGAACTTAGGAAGGCACCACTCAGACTCTTCTGTGTTAAGCAACTTTAATATCTAATAAGTATAACCCGTAAAAACTAAGTTTTTCACTATAAATCCTTTATATGCGTGGCAGCTAGAGTCCTCTCGTCCTCTGGCTTGAGATGGCTGCCACCTATGGGTCAGATGATTGTCTGCCAGTATTAAGCAATTGGTAATTAAATATTTAATTTGTTTTCACGAACATTAATTGTCTCGCACAACGAGTCTGTGTGCAAAATGTCAGCTCGATTGGATCACGGGAAGTGGGTTAAAAAACGACCGAAAGATTTGCACTGTCGTAAGCAAGCACGCAAGCACACAAGCAAGCGAACTTAATATAAAGGATTTAAAAACACTTATGCTCGGAATTGTCAACACAGTACTCCTCGAAACGTCCTATTCATTGATCCGTACAAATAACCCTCTGGTTACGTTTATTAACTGAGCACAAAACAATCTGCTAATCCCTCAGAGTAAAGCGAGCATGCACGGCGATGGGAAAAAGTCCTTAAAATGCATGTGACAATATTCATACGAACGGTAATAAAGAAACATGTGTCTAAAGCAAAAGTAGTCGTCAATTAATTCATTGGTAAGATTATGCAATTAACGAAAACGAATTACTAAAATTCTTCTAAACGACCGTATTCATGTAACTCAACGGGCAGCAATGCTTTTCACGATCAGCTAATATTTAACGCACCTGCCTTGGAATGGCACCCCTTTTCGAAACGCAAAGATAACTTTTTGGAACAATCTTTTTAGTCCCGATATGCGTGTTGTGTGTGTGAATTGGCGGCTTACGCGGTACAGCGTTCCTTGTACTGAAAATACCTCAGGATCCCAGCAGGGCCGCTGGGACTGCGTGTGTGTGTGTATTGAACACACAGCGCTCTTGCCTGCGCCGACACTCTTCCTCTTGGCTGTGCCAGCTCTCTCCACTGCTGGTTGGTAGTTGAGTTGGCGCGATGATGCCGTCGTCGGATAGCGCTCGCAGCTGGTCGCCGTTGCTCACTCTTGTCTTAGTTCCCAGCTGGTGCTTGTCGGTGTGTGTGTGGGTTGAATCCACGGCGCTCTCGCCAGCGCTGACACTCTTGGCGGCTGGTCAGGCTCTTTCCACTGCTCCGTGCTCTCTCCCTTAGTGTGCAGCTGCCAGCTTCAAGCGGGCACCCGGTGATGCCTCTCCTGCCCTTCCTTCAGGCTCTTTCCACTGCTCCGTGCTCTCTCCCTTAGCGTGCAGCTGCCAGCTTCACGCGGGCACCCGGTGATGCCTCTCCTGCCCTTCCTTCAGGCTCTTTCCACTGCTTCGTGCTCTCCGCCCTTCTTCCAAGAGGGCTCCTGCTTTGAGCTGCTCGTCGCTGCCTGGATCACTGACTCTCAAAACTCGTAAATTGCATGAGCACCTTTTTAGCTTCTCACAACTCTTACAGCGTAGCATAATACAGCATATCGCAGTCCTCGACTCGGCAAGCGACTCAACATAAGGGTAGATCTTCTTGGTTCTTTCGGTAAAGTCACGTAGAAGGGAAGTAATAAAATAATAAAAATAAAACTATTAAATAATTCTCACGACGTTTCGGCCACAACGCAAGCAGCCGTCCTCAGGTGGAGAACAGGTCAGTCGGGAAGACAGCGTCTGAATGAGAATAAATCGCAATATAAGGGTATAAGGGTAGATGTTAAATAACACTTTCAGCAATACTCTGTCAGTCCATGCCGAACTCAGCTCTAGAGCCTGCCCGTCGCAGCACTGAGTTGCCTGTTTTGTGTCCTTGCTTATATGTGGAATTCTCCCCCCTCTGCACTTCTCTCACGAAAAACACAATCCCTGTCTTGTTCTTCTCCCGTGGCCACAGCCGCCTGGTTGCCCCCCCCCCCTTTTTGACCATTGACTGGCTGCTTTCCATCACCATGTTATGTTTTGGTTTGCGTCCCCCCCCCTCTGCCCTCGTGGTGTTTGCTATCTCAAGGGGAGGCCCTCCCTTCATACGTAATTTATTGCTACCATGTGCTGTGTCAAATTGTTGGAAGACAAAGGCGGTTTGGAGGCTCTGGTCCTATGGAATACATTATCTTGGTCGTGTGTGTTTGACCTATTTCGCCTTATATCTCTTTTGAATTACCTTAGGTGTAATACTTCATAATTATTATTTGGTTTATGTTTAACCAAAATTTGTGACGTACCATAGTTGTTACCTCACGTATTCCGAGGGTTTTATTAAACTTTGTTCACCGTGTGTGTCTTCAGGGATCTGTGCTTCTTATTTCAGTTATATTTTGATATCCTGGGTTTGACGATATAGCTAAATTTTGACTTAAGTTTTCGTGACTGCCAGAATTCATATTCTTTGGTTCTTTCTGTAAAGTCATATAGATAGAAAGATACAATAAGAAAAAATATATATAAGGTGAATAAGGGTAATAATATAAGTACTAATAAAAGCCACTAATGTAGACTGCAGTCTGGTTCTTAATCTGAGAGTGTACTGGCAGTCTATAATGTCGATTTATTCTTGTCACTAAGTTTCGAACTTTTACCATTGTAAAAAAAAAACGCCAGTTGTAATGTCCGTTTGCCCTGTGGCTCTCGCCGTCCGTGGAGAGCCGTCTGGGGGTGGTGTAAAGGCTGTGTCAGCAAGTTTCGATGCGTGACCAGGCTGTTTCTCCAGATGCCAGTGGGTCTTGGAGGATTGTTTGTGAAACTTGTCCAAAACGTCCGTGGAGGTCGTGTCCCATAGGTCCCCCGCCCGGTGGAGATTTCCCAGATTGTCATTAATTTCCCTTTACCCCGGGGTTTTATTATTGAATGGCTTTTTTGACCTCCCTCCAGTCGCTTTTATCTGGCAAGGCAGGTGGAGTGTGAGGGGTGGGGTGTGCCTCAACCATTCATACCCCATGTTCACCTCGATCGATTATTTAAAAAAAAAAGGCAGAATCATTCTTAATATATTTTTTGGAAAAAGGCATATATATACAACAGGTTCCTATACCCGTCCAACTCACTACTTACCCACCTGAGTAGCCAGGTAGGTTTCTGGGACCCATGTCCAGTCGGACTGTATTTGAAAAAAAAGCAGTGGTGGGTTGACGACTTGTAGTATAGAGCCTTGCCAAGAAACAGGGTAATCTTAAGCATTGTGGAAGTCACGGTAGCAAAAAAATATAGATTTCAGAAAAGCCTACCTTTGTGTGAAGGTGCAATCTTACCGGGTGATGGTGCAGTTAGGCAAACGGACGCGGAGTCACGGAAAGACGTTGAGACACACACACCAATAAATAGAAACAGACAGGCATAAATATACTTACTAGACATGGAGACATACACACGGGGACACAACAACAATAACAACGGCCATTCGCCACTAAGTAGCGGTAACATCACCACGGCACTTGTGCCAGCCTATGTGCACTTTAAAGCCACGTGAAGTGTCAAAGGCTCGCTGACAGGATGTCATTGGATAGACCCAGGTGCCATGGGTTGACTGAGATGACTGGCCGATGCACCACCTGTGCCCCCTACTGTGCAAACTTGCTGTGTTTTAGCCGCCCGATGCTCCGCTCATTGTTGTGAGCGTCGCTCCTCTACCGTCCGTTATTGCTGGAGGGCGGCTGCATCCAACTACCCAGTAGCGTCCTCAATGAGCCTCCTCCAGAGGCCAATCTTGACACCGCTGGTACCAGCCATTGACAAGTCCACTCGGCTCCATATCCTCTTGTATGCAGCCGATGGAAAGATAATGCCGCTCGACTGATTCGGAGTGAGACATCTTTTGTCAATCCGGAGCTGGTCATGAGCACATTGCCCAGGTACGAAACCCCTAACACTACAACTGCCTCGCCAGTGGAGCGTTGAGGGGGTGGAGTGTTTGATGACATAACACCCAGGCAGATGCTTAGTTTTGGTGGGGCTGATGGTAAGGCCCCCACCTCTTCGTGGCACGCTCCAGGCTCAAAAGCAGTGCCTCCAACTCCTCATTTGAGTGAGCATCAATCACCAGATCATGAGCACACATAACATGGTTGACAAATTGGGAGCCATCCCTCAACCGCACCCAGGCATTGATCAGTCTCCCACTGTATCTGTACAAGAAGGAGATTCCTCCGGTACAGCCATGGAAGGCTTCTCGAACTACGTGGTCGAAAAAAATGTTAAATAATGTGGGAGTCAGAGGACATCTCTGTCGCACCCCAAGGTGAACAGGGAATGGCTCTGACTCCCGGCCACGGCCCAAGCCCACCATCATGAAGGTCCTTAATGATTGTTAGAGAATTGGGGACTGAAAGCAGGAAGAACATCCCCGAACCCAGGCCTATTAATGGTATCATAGACCTTGATCAGGTCAATAAAGGAGAGTTGTAGGTCGTGTTGGAATTCTCTACACCTCTGTTGCAGCAGAGACACACACATACAGATATGGAGACATGCGTAGACAAACACGGACACCTACCCTCACTCGAGACGCAGACAAGACTACACTCGCATACTGATTGCAGGAATTGACAGAGTAGGGAGCTCTGGTCTGGCTCGCTGAAAAGTCCCAACTTGCTGCAAAAACGAAACAATATAATTAAAATGTATCATGCGAATTCTATCCTAGGATCCCAATGTGCAATGCATGGGATGCAGGAAACAAAAAAACAGAACCAGTGGGCAACCGACCAAACTTAAGAGGGAAGGTCAAGTTTAAAGAGATGGGTTTTCAAAGCAAACTTAAATATATTTACCAAACTGAAATATATCGACCGACTTTGCCCAGAATTCAAGTGGCAAGGCGTTCCATAGCTTGGGTGCCACACTAACAAAAGCCCAATCACAACGAGAACGCAACCTCGACCTGGGAGTGCTGAGCAGTTGGAGATCAGAAGATCTTAAGGACCTTGATGGAATGTATAAATGTATTAGGGACCGTCCATAAATGACGTGACGCGATTTTGGACGATTTTTGACCCCCCCCCCCCCCCTTCGTCACACGGCGTTACAAAAAGTCAGACCCCCCCTCAAATATGACGACACAAAGCTCTGCCCCCCCCCCCCCCCCCCCACAGAAATATAAAACATGCTTCAAATCGCTTTAAACTATTGTCATTGTAGTGCGTATTTAATGTGCCGCTGCACTCTGATGTTGTAGGACAGCGGTCGGGAACCTTTTTGACTGGGAGAGCCATAAAAGCCAAATATTTCTAAATATATTTCATTGAGAGCCATATAGTATTTTTAACGTATAATAAATTAAATATGTCTTACTTTTAATGCGACTTCTGGTCACGGGACCCGTGACCCGAGAAATTTTATCTTCAAAACTAATTTCTGTTTACTTTAAAATGACACAGTATTATTAAGCGATATCACAAGTATTTTAAAATCGGTTCCAAATTGATTTTATTTTATTTTTTCAACTCAAAATTGTCTGGGAGCCATATGCCGTCACCGGAAGAGCCATATATGGCTCGCGAGCCATAGGTTCCCGACCGCTGTTGTAGGAGAAAACATTTGTTAAAACGTCTATTTAATTAAATAGAACGTGTTGTCTATATTTATTTAAAGTTGCGCATTTTGATGTGACGTCACATTTCTCACCCCCCCCCCCCCCCCCATCGTCACACATCGTCACAAATATCTGACCCCCTCCCCACCCCCAGGTGCGTGACGTCATTTATGGACAACCCTTTAGTTCCTGCAACTAATGTGGGGTGAGCCCTTTTAAAGCCTTATAGGTTAATAGCAGTATCTTAAAATCCACTCGGAATTTGACCGGTAGCCAATGAAAGAGACGCAAAAAAATCGTTAAAAATACATATAGAAAGCACGTAAGTTATTAAGCGTATTTAAAATAAAAGTGAATACACTGTGCTCGTGTGTTTCAATGCAAGATTTAAAAGGTATTCGAAACAATAAAACTGTTCGTGTGGCTGTGGTGCTCCTCTTGTCAGCGTTGAGGTTTGTTGTTGATAACCCTCCGAGAAAATGCAACAAAAAAAACACTGAACAATGAACATAGGAAGGGACATCAACATCAGAAGACAAATGGGGGGGGGGGGGGGGTGGAGATAATGTGGCACAATGCATTGTGGCACAATGGAATGTGTAACAATGCATTGGGGCACAGTACAATGTGACAATGCAATGTATGCGGCACAATGCATTGACACAATGGAATGTGGCACAATGGAATGTGTAACAATGCATTGGGGCACAGTACAATGTGACAATGCAATGTATGCGGCACAATGCATTGACACAATGCATTGACACAATGGAATGTGGAACAATGGAATGTGTAACAATGCATTGGGGCACAGTACAATGTGACAATGCAATGCATTGACACAATGCATTGTGGCACAATGGAATGTGACAGCGACATTTTACGATGTTGCTTTTAATATGAATTTATGTAGAAGTCACACTGCTTTGTAAAAAAAAAACTTTATTATTAAAGGGCCTGTCTGTGAATTGATAGTTTACTATTTCTGTGACCGTTCACGTGCCAACTAAAAAAAAACACACACACACACCTACAGGTCATCAGAGAACATTTCTTAAAACAAGATTCATTCCCATCAGACCCCGTGATGATGGCAATGTGCAGTCTCCGACTCCGTATTATCTCTTTGGGCTACGTGCTATAAAGAAGGGCCGTTGCCCGAAACGTCGCCGATTATATACATATTTATTTTAATCCTCTGAATGCCTTTTAGTGGCGTTTTTTGACAAATGTGTTCAGCTTTGTTTTGTTCTTCGATGCAATTGACATGCACCTTATCCCGCATCTCGTCGCTTTGCTGCGTGGTCGTTGCTGCTGTTGCTGCTGCGTTGGAGCGTCCCGTAGGTTGGTGGTGAAATTCACTCAAGACGAGAGGTGAATTCACACTCACACCGCCATTCACTCTCTGTGTCTGTGTCTCTCGTATACCCTGTTCACTGCTATCACGAGAAGTGAATTCACACACCGCTATTCACTCTCTCTGTCTCACACCCTGTTCTGTTGTCACGAGAGGTGAATTCACACTCACATCACCATTCACTCTCTCTGTCTCTCTCACCCTGTTCACTGTTGTCACGAGAGGTGAATTCACACTCACACCGCCATTCACTCTCGCACTGTCCACAATTGCTACAGGAGGTGAATTCACATTCACTCTCGCACTGTGTCCACAATTGCTACAGGAGGTGAATTCACATTCACTCTCGCATTGTGTCCACAATTGCTACAGGATGTGAATTCACATTCACTCTCGCACTGTGTCCACAATTGCTACAGGAGGTGAATTCACATTCA